CACCTTAAGATAAAGCTCAGTGCTCACATGGGTCAATGGATTGAGTTTATTTCCTAGACATGCACTTAAGCTTCTTGACTCATTGTTTTTGTCTTAAAGACTCCAATCAGTCCATTTTGCCTATGGCATGAATTTTCAACAGTTTACTTTTAAATTGTTGTGACAGTACGATTATGAAAGGAACTCAAACTATACTAAAACCAAAACAAACTGTTTTGCATTTCTCTTCTTTAGAGAAGTTTTCTTTTCATGTGTTAATAATAAGTAGTGTTTTTGAAATAGTGTTTGAGTTTTGTAAGATAGTCGGTTTTTATCAGCGCTACACCTGTCAGTTTTATTTTGTTTGTTCACCTAGATGTTACAAGCCCATGAAAGAAAAGCCATTGGGAGTTAATAAGCTTAATAGCGCGTGCCCAAACACCATTATACCCCGTTAGCACTCGTCGTAATGAAATAGTACTTACAGAAGTGAAAATAAAAATTATCTCTTAATTCAAAGTATATCTTTGGAACTTTTCACTTTCCTCTGGATCTGCGGCAAACCACCTGCACGTAATAGAGTCGACTGAATGAAGACACCCGTAACTTGTGAAATAAAATCTACGTCATCTCACATTTAGAAAGAGATAGCTAGACTGCTCTATGTGGCTTTTGTACGGTTGCGAGAGGGTCTTGGAATTCCATTCCAACTAAATCATGCTCAACGAACGTTGATTATTCAATAGCGTTAATCAAATTTTAGCGTTATTTACAACGAAATCGAGAAGCTTCATACAAAAGGTTCATACTGTTTACTATTTTTCAAAGACCTCCAAATCTGAATATTTACAAAGACCTTTGTACTTAAAGGGTGTTTTTAGCCAAACTGCGCCAAAGCTAATATCACGCAAGGTGCCGCGAGTGTAATTATTATCCTTCGAATGTTGTCATCGCTGAAAGTTGTGTTTCTATTAGTCTGGTCAAATTATAATAATGTTTGCCACCCTTTTCTCGAAAAAAACAACAAATGAAAAAAAAATGATAAATGCATTTAAAGTTAAGCAAATATGCAACAATGGATTCTTAACTTTACGTTAACACCATGGTTCATTGGGTATTAAGTTATATGCATCATTTAAAAGATAGCAAACTTTCATGATCGGGCCGTTTTGGATTAAGGTTTCTCTCTACTTCTCAACACACAAAACAGAACAAAACAACCGCCGTGCGCTATTGATTGTAATGATACTGAGGTAAAGCATAAAACAATTCAAAGTTAAATTAGCTCAGCGAGAGATCCTAAAACTCAACAATTATCTCAATGGTTTTGTTGGCACAAAGCTATTACCCTGTAATTAGATTGAGTACGAGTTTACCGGACACTCTTAAAGACTCTTTAGCCCGACAGATTAATCGTTTATGGCAAAAAGAGCGGGTAAATGAAGCAATTCGGTCTCTTTTAAGTCCCTAAAGGCTCTCGCAAGGAACGGTCTTGGTTATTGTAAGCACGCAAGGAACGTACGGAGAGAATAAAAAAAAATATGCTAAGTCATTCAAGTAATATTGGCATGCTGGTAAAAACGTAGAAACGACAGAAACACGTTTTTATTCAAGCTGTAGTTAACGTCATTAATGCCTTACGTTTTTGTCTTAGAGCGCTGTGTTTGGTAGTACAATGTACAATGGATTTTTAGGAAAGCGATTTACAAAAAGAATTAGCAACGCCACAATGACTTTTCGACAAAACAAACTTTTGAGTTTGTGCAAACGGCCGAGGTTCTTTGTTTTGTAAATACACTTCGAAGCCCTCCATTAAGGGCCATTGTTCATTAGACTAATTATCTGTGACCCGTAACTCCTGTTAATCAACCCTATTAACAAAATCGCTAAATGAACCAAACTTGTGGTGTCATCGAAAGGCTATTTTGGAGATAAGATACACTTGTTAAACAGACAGGAAATTACTTAAACATCGGCAAAGTGGTTTCCAAAACGCCCAAATTCCCTTAAAATGTTTTTTAGGGGCACTAAATGTTGCTCTTAATTAACTTCGTATATGTGTTGAAAACAAAGATTTTTGTCTTTTGAGAGCATAACACGCAGTCGCCAATTCCACCCAGTTATTATTCCACATTTGTCCGACGAAATTATCTTTAATTTCACCCTTGCCCAATTGAAACTATCAACGCGAATTAGCCCCGAATACCACTTTTGGCTAACAAAACGCCAACTCAATCGGTTCTTGCCACTTTGGAGCCATTAAGGGATATTTCAAATTATCTTTCTATCTGTATTCATGGCTAATTATATGCGAAAATTGCGTCTTGACGGCCATTTAGTAATTAGTCCATTAAGTCGACAGGCGGAACAAAAATAACATGAAGAATTAGCATTTGAACAAAACAGACAGGCATTGCCTGTGGTCGTTTTAACATGAATACGGTGGCAACCCTTTCCCCCTGAAAGAGAGAGACAGTGATAAATAAAAAAAAGCGTACCTGATCCTTTTATAGAAAGAAAGCATCTACCATGCAACAATGGAGAACAGCTTGTTTTTTCAGACTCGATTGTATAAGGAAAAGAAAAGGATAACTTTTTTGCCAATGGGTTTGAATAGAATTTTGAAGTGTCTTAAGAATCGATATAGCCTAGAGATAGAACTCGTGATAACAAAGCTACTTAAAGATAAGAAGAAAAATGGCTGCAGGTGTTTGGGGAGACAGACATAGATTTCCATTACTGAGTTCCTTTATGGCTTTGTCGTCTTTCTCGAATTGTACCAAACAGAGACGACAAAAAATCAAATTTTAAACCTGAGAGTCATTTTCCAAGACTAATTAATGGTGCTAATGGTGTATAGTTTGTGTTTGTGTTCGCTCCTTTATTCTTTCAGCTTTTTGAAACGCACAGTTTACACAAATCCTTTCTTTTGATGAGAAACAAAGCAAAACAGTCAGTCAAGGACTTTTTAGTCACCATGTTTTATTCAGTGTGAGGTAATAACTGAAAAGCACTGACCAAATCAACACAAACCAATCTCGTTCTTAACGAGTAAAAAGTGCTTAAGATCCATATGTTATTGTCTCTCGGTATTGATATAAAGTTATCACGATACGCTCGCCTTGATATTACCAACAATTTGCTGCAATTAAACCACTTCTAACTAAACAAGTATTCAACACGAACCTGTACAGAATGATATGGATCGCTGTGTAATCAATTGATGTTGAGAAGATCCATCATGCGTATGCATTAATAGTAAACTCGAGAATGAATTATTACTATAACGTGAGAAAAGCAGTTCAGCTACACGTATAATTTTATCCTTTAGAATAGTCAACAGAGGCTCGAGCTCTATTTCTACAACGAGGCACTGTTGCTTTTGTTCTGAAAACCATCATTAAGCGTTATATGAGTCTTGCTCTCCCTCTCTCTCTCTCTCTCTCTCTCTCTCTCTCTCTCTCTGTTTCATCCCTTTAGATAATATAACAAAGGATAGGTTCTATTGAAATATTTTAATGAAAACTTGTTTGAGTAATCTCTTTATCGGTCAATTACACACGTTCTTGATGTAGAGACTCGAGGGACTCTTAATCATTTAACATAGCCATGAAATTTTTATATTGCATTGGTGTCGCAGTCTTTCATAGGCATTTGCAATTTGGAAATGATGGAACTGAGCCAATCCTTGTGATAAAAATACCCTTCAGCAGGCTGGGAGAATACCGACTTTGTGGATCTAGCGGGTAGTATATTGTTATCATTCTCATATTTTTGGTCGGTGGAATTTTGAGTATCGACTCCAACCTACAATTCACAATGACATTTCAGTAGAGAAAAAAAAAACAGTCTCCTACTTCCTCTGTGCATTTGCATACTTTATTGCGTATACCTCCAAGTTAACCAATATACTTTCCTTAATTTACTTCCTGCTAAAATGAAAATAAAGTTCTTTTCACCTAATTAGACTAGCCTATGTTATCTTATTCTTTAGAAATGCAGTAAGCGACAAGATTTGTCCTGCATCTTCTAGGCTGGTGATACCGAAAGTTATTCTCTGCTTCTAAATACTGTGTTTTTCTGTGTGTGTGGATTTTTTTTTTTCAGCACCCGAAAACAACTTCCTTAGTGCTGAAAAATCTAGAAATGATCAAGTGTTGACATGAGAGCCATAAAAAATGGTTTGCAAAAATTCCGCAAGGTCAGGCGGTGAAGTGTTTGCATGACCGAGCCGTTCATAGGAGACTCCTAGCACCTTCCGCAAAGTTTGTACGAGGAACATCAAATATATTTATAGCAATTACAACCAGGAAGGGCCAAATATAGAAATTCCAAACTTGTCAACTCGGAACTTTAAGAATCATCCAGATAAAACTGGAACATCAGCTAGTTGGGTTCTGCCCCAGCAGTAACACTCTTCAAATGAAAAGTAATGGGGTGGTATTTTTTTTGTTCGAAATCATTCACATGTGGACAAGACACATATCCAACTCAAGAAACAATAACACAACACAATGGAAAGTCACTGCGTATTCAGATTATGTTGGTTTTTATAATGGTTGTACAATCAAGTCATTCGAACCGAAACATTGATGAAGTTTTCTTCTTTTATCCATTAGAGCGTCTGCGTTGCCGTCGATTCTTGCGGCCGCAATGTGTGACGATAGGAATGTTAGACTTGATGTAAACATCATTGTCAGTTTTATCTAAGCACTCCTCGGCGACCGATATTTTACTTCTGTTTGCTTGTCGTAAATCATCGAGATCCAATCCAAGTCGTAAGACAATGAAGTCATCATTGTTTGATGACGATATGTTTGTATAATAATCGAGCACAGAACAATAAAAATATCTCTTTGAAGTCACTGACAGAAACAAGAAAAGTAAACACAAGGGCCATTTTTAGAGCCGTTTTTCTCGCACATGCTTTTCTTTCAAAGGGCGTCATGGTCGTGTCGAAACGGACCAATCTAGTAATAAGAGCGCAAGCTATGGGATAAATAACAGCACAAAGCCTCTTATAACTTGATAACGGGTCCTTTTTATTCACTTAACAGATGTTGTGGTATTGCTAAATGTCATTGATACTCTTTTAACAAATGAGAGCTATAAGACGATCTCGTTATACATCAAGGGCCTATGGCACGCGTATGCATTCGGTTCTTTGAGGAATTGGCTCGTGGGATAAAACAGTTCAAAGCGACGCGACTCAGTTAAGCCAAGGGCATTTCTATCGTGTCAGTTTGTAAATTTTTCTCTCTATATTGGAAAATAAATGTCAAGAATACTAACTATTGCATTTAACGTATTCTAAGAACTGTTTTTATGTCCTACCTTTGGGAAAACAGCATTAAATATCACCTGTTATGCGGGCTAATTACCTATTGATGTTGAAAAGTCTTAATGCCTCAATCACGCTCGTTGTTACATGAATAAGCTCAAGAACTTGACTTCATGAAAGATCTCCTTGCCAAGTTTACATTATACCTTTTTAACGTATCGCACAAATAAATTATATTTACAAAATTAAAACCTCTTCAGTGTTAACACGATTAAAACTTTACAGATTGAACCTTTCCTTGCAACATCAGAAGACTTGCAAGTACACGCGTTGCCGATTTTTTGACAATCTTGAGTTAAAGCAAAGCTCAGTACATTATCTACCCTTCATACCTATGAGTATTTATCTTTACAGCAAGGTAATCCGTAAATGTGAGTTTTTCACATTCTTTGGCATCGTTCTGCGGTGAAAGGAGACTTAAGCCCGCCTGTAAGACACCACTGGCTCAAGTTTGGAGTTAACTGTATCGTCTGTTTAGTAGTCGCTAGAGCGGCAAGGCTTGGAATTTCTGTATCATGACTTCCAGATGCTGATACTTCTGTATTTGACCAAGTTCCTGAGCTGTTTGAGGGGCTTGCTCTGCCCTCTGATTTACTAGTCTCTTCAACTGGGTTGTCTTCGTTTGCTCTGGCGCTGTGTTTCTTGAACTTAGATCTTCTGTTCTGAAACCAAATTTTAACTTGGGTCTGCGTTAGACCGAGGCAGGCAGCTAACTCAGCACGTTCAGGTAGAGCTAAATATTGTGTCTTGTTAAATCGTTTGGTGAGCTCCCGAAGCTGAAAACTTGAGTAGATGGTTCGTGGCTTTCGAATCTTTTTTCCTTTACCGTTTAGCCTGGGTTCCTCGCATGGTCCTTTCAAATCTGCGATGGTAATGTGTTAAACTATGTTTAGGCTCTCTTAAGAATTACAAAATCAGCGGCTTCAAATGATGGATAAATTGTATCATTTTGCTTTTCTACTCATCAAGCAAAAGGCTACGAAATATTTTAACAGTTAATTTTCGACTAATTTCGTTCCATTTGACAATACATTTTAACACTTTGAGCTTCTATTAGAAGAATTTTGCGACTCCTGTAACTTCCCTAATTTTACATTAACTTAGGCAACCACAGGCGCATTGTACGCGCCAAATCACTTCCGAATCTTCTTTGAGTAAGTCATGCTTACGACTGTTAAATAACGTGAATATTCCATAGTCTACGTACCGTCATGCGGAGAATCGCGAGGGGCTCCAAACCCTTGTATGGAAGGCGATAAGTATGGATGATGCGAGAGCGGATGATGGTTCAAAACTGGCGGCATCGGAAAGGAGCTTCTGGCATTGCAGGCGAGGGAATACTCTTGGTTCGCTGGAGGATGATGATAGTATCGCATCGCTGCGGTGTACGGGTTATAATTCGGCGGCACGGGGTTGTAGCTGGAGTAGCTATGCGGCCCCGGTGTTGATGGCAATTCCATGAAGGCGGATTTGCAAGGCGCGGGAGGCTCAAAGTAGTCGGCTTGGAAGTTGAGGTTCATGTGGTAGCGATAACTGCAGAAAGGCTCAATTATAAGAACTCGCGCTCGCAGATGTGACAAATTGACAACTTGCCTTGGTTGCAACCTCGATATGAGACCAAATGACCACCTGACTGGCTGTTAAACAACAAACCTTAGGCCCACGCGTGCTGGTCTGGTTAATATGTATGTCCTTGCGGAGAAGAGTCTCTCAAGAATAGCTTATGCAAATCTAATTGGCTGTTATGATAATATGGTTCTAATTACATTGTATTTTATCTTCTAATAGCCTTCACGCACAACAAAAGCAGCTGCTGTTGTCAGTATGTCTTCATCATCACTGTATAATTTCCCATTGTTGGCAAGGCTCAGTGAACACTGTATAAAGGTCAAAACTTACCAGCATTTTTTCGCGATTTAAAACAAGACTTTCCTTGAAATATTTTACTCCTAAAGAGAAAAATGTCTCATTTGTTCAAAAAAGAACAAAAGCAATTGAGATATATGAACCGAAACGATAAATCCATCCCTTTTTTGGCCAGGGATCATTAGCACATGTTGTTTAATTGGAGCTAAGTGTCCTTTTCATTAAAGGCCTGTAGAAAAATACGTTCGTGAACTTTTTCAAGAAGGCGGACGACAAAATTAAACCAGCTCGCCAAACAACTTGTCTTTCCTTTTAATGACAGGCAAAACTCTCAATCGCTGACGCCAGAACATTAAAGATTTACAACAATTTGCCGTTTAAAAAGGCTAAAACCGGCTAAATTGCTCAATATTCAAAGGACCCAAACAATGCGATCTACAACCGTTGTCTTCCACCAAATAATTGCTTTAAACTCTGATAGAAAAAAGTATGCAAAACAACGCCAAGTAATTTAGCGGTACCCTTTCGCTTAAAACACAATGTATCATTAGGAAGAAATGTGTTTTGTTTCAAGTGCTTTGACATTATAACTGGTCTGACTCGTTTTCACACACCTTGGAAAAAAATAGGCTCGCGCGGCCGGTTTCAATCTCATGGCAAAAAAGCAGAAAAAACCCGATGTTCAGTTCAGAACAACACAATAGGATGAAAAAAGTGTTTGATTAAGCTCCTGCCCGACGGGGTTTTACCACTCTGGCTGTTTAATTCGATCTTGCAGTGACATAATTAAAGCGCGGAGTTTGGTAACCCCTTAGAAAAGAATAGAACGGGTGAATGCGCAAAAAAAAAAGAAAGTAAGTTGAGATTTAAGGGCAAACATATATGACACCATCTTGAACTCTGAATCTCAAATGACTCCTGTTAAACATTCGAGGTTTGATTCAATCCCTGCAGCAAAAACAATAATTTACAAGAATTAATTTGTTTCTTTCCTTTCTTCGGAGTTATCTTTTCGTGGAAAATATTTTTGTTGGTAATATTTGGAGCATATGCGTGCACTCGAACAAAGTTGTAATGAGCAATAATAACAGAATCTATTATTTTCGAAGTACTAAAGGCGCATATTTTTTAGTCTAAAAATGGCTGGTTATACAGTTGCTTATTTTCAAAGGCTAAAATGGAATATTATACATTAAAGTATGACTTTTGAATTACATTTTCCAAATCGTGAACAGTCCACAAAATGGAGTCTTGACGCCCTTTATTTTTCATAGTTTAATTATTTTAGAGCAAGAGCGGCTGGCTACACCAGGAAGTAATAAGTTTTACGCACTTCACCTGCAGAACAATATCAACTGCACAGTGTATACATGGCTGTCAAAAAGAAACCGAAATTTTAATCTCGCGCAAAAGTTAACAATCATCCAGGTTACAAATTGTGACAAACAAACCATCTGTTGAAATCAGAGACAAATTTCGCTTTTATTGCCTGAGAAAAGAGCAACGTCCCTATAGTAGAGAAAAGGCAGCTCTAAAAACTGAAACTTAAAGTTGTTAAAAAGTATTTTAAAATATGTCAATGAAAGTGTAGGAGAATACATCTTTTTTAAAAAAGAAAAAATTTAAAAGTGAACAACCTTTACCATGCTAATTTAGAATTGCAAGTATCTGCAGACAAAAATGATTGGAAACGTTTAATTTAAACGTTTCTAATCATTTTCTTTTTCAAAAATAGTTCAAGTAATGCCAAGGAAAGTTCACTTAAAGCAGAGTTTGAAGAAATATGTCGGAATAGCAGAGTACTTTTGAAAGCCGTTTGTTTCCACCAAGCATACACAAAGGTGCTAATCTTTCTTCAATACCCTACCTGCGAATAACATTGAATACGAAAAACCAACTGCAGCGCACAGCATGGGGCACCACCAGCTCACGACCAAACAACTGCAGGACGTCGGTGTAAACGAACTAACCTTTCACTGAAATTTCACGAGAGCTTCTAAATGTAACTACGCACAGCTTTTCCCTCCTCGAAAAAAAAAACAAAGTTGTTCCTTCACAATAGGTGTTTTAAGATATAAATACTTTCTCCTTTTGAACTTACATAGAACTTTGTAGGTAAAAAAGAAAAATTCGGCCTTGTGTTTGAAAATTTAAATTAGTCGGTTCGTCTCTGAACATTTGAGAATCTACATTTTCAAAGGAAAAGGGTAACCTTCTCTTTTCTTTGAGAGTTGATAGATGGGCTTTTAATACCTGCAGTATAGCTTCAAATTAAAAGCAATAAAATATTTGTATGTTTTGACCCTCTGAGTAGTGCGCGTTCGGAGCTCCTGGAAATCTGACAGTAGAGGCGATTTTTCGATGTACCTCATTTAGAAATGAACAAATAACAAAGGCAGCGATGTTAAGATGTACATAATCGAACACAAAAGAAGCTCATTTAGACAGGAAAATACCGTGTAGGTGAGAAAATCATAAAATCATGCGAATCGATTTGAGGGAGCAAATAGCGAACTGAAGGCCCGGCGACTTCAACGTTGAAACATTTTCTCTGTACGATTTTTATGCTCTTTTTCGAACAAAGCTTTATTTTGCTTTTTGCGATCAAGTGATCAGGAGAAACTTTTGTTAGTTTTCATCTAAACTGGCTGGGAACCCGCTTTTTGATCTGTGATACTGAATAGCTCGAACTGACCGGGAATAAAATTGAAAAGAGAGTATAGCATTTCCACAAGCAAGAGAGTTTGTCCTAAAAACAAATCATCGCAAAACAAAAATCAGTAATCTACTCCAAGAGTTTTGTTATTTTCAGGTATTCATGCATTCGATTCCTACATATTAAATTTTTATTACAAGTTTTAAATATTTTGACTGGAAAAGAAACATTTCAAGCTTCTTTTGAATATACTGTCAATATAAGTTAACCAAACCTTGTGACCATGTTAAAGTTTCAGTGCGCAGTGATGCAAACAGATTTTCTTCCCAGTCCAAACCACATTTAACTAGTTACATTTCCAGACGGACTTCATCCACTGTTTCACGCCATTTATCCACCTCAACATGCTCCTGTTAAAATATCCTTAAATTTCTTCTTTAGGACTTGCGTTGGGAAACAAAGCTTTTTTGTTTGATGAATGTAATGCAACTCAACGTAGCAGATCGATTATACTGTGATGCACTTTTATTTAGGTAGCCACGACTATAAGTACTTAAACTTGGGTGGCATTTTTTAACGATAGAAAATTTTTTACTTGATGTTTTAAAGGCGAAAATTTAAGACGTTTTTAGCTTTGAAAAGTTGCTCAAAATTACCTTAAACCTGGCTATTTAGGACTCAGGAGATAGCTTACGGTCGCATTACTAAAATTATCATGCAGTTCACGCTTCTAAACTGTTCAACTACTTTCAGATGGTGTTTTACCCACGAAACATCTATTACTCATTTTGTTTTCAAAACCGAAGACATTGAAAATACTTCTAGGTGCTTCTTTACATAATTAAGTGCTTCCTTCTTTAAGGATTTGCTAGCTTAGAAGGCTAATTAACATGATCACACTTGCATTTGAATTGAAGTTTTAAACTTGCTAATTTCTTGGTCATTTATTTTCTTACTTGCGGTGATAAGTACTTCAGCTTTGAATTCAACTTTCGTTAATGCTGAAAACCTGCCAACATATGGTTTCGAATCAGATTTCAAAAAGTCACGAATAGCGTGTGAAATTCTTTCAACGAAGGCCATAGTTTCCAGCCAGAATTTTAAATGAGTCGACATAAGGCTGTTCTTCTCAAAAGATGTATATGACTTTTGGCTTAATCTAAATGAGAATAACGTTTGTTTTTTTCTTTCTACCTTTGAATTTTATTCTTAACATTTAATGACTTATTTATCAGTAACTTTTTTTACAGTTTGACGGCAATAACTTCATTCTATACAGTCTGTTTCGGGAAATAATACATGATCAAGTGCAGATTCATCTGGGACACCGCTTGATGAAAAAGGAAATGTCAATTAAGCTTTGCATTGATGTTCTCCATTACTTATAATTTCCTCTCCGCAGACAAACCTACTATGGAAAAAAGACACCTCCCCAATGTGACGATTTCTCCAATTCCTTGATAAAATGTCCATGGGTCCAATGTATTTTAAAAATTTTTAATTATTTCCTAAATTCTTCCCCTTCTTACCAAACGGCATCAAGAAATTAACCTGAATACTGATCTGGTTTGACTTCGATCGAATTGAATAATCCGCTCTGAGAGATGGACATTTTTTTCCGTGGACCATGATATCAGTGAATCCTTGGTACCGTTAATTTGGATTTTTGATCGATGAGTACGTTGTAGTCTAAACTTCAAGTGTAAATTCCTATTGGGCTGGATTTAAAACATCTCCACGCACGATTTGTAAGCGATAGTGATCAGTTTAATGTTTTTTGTGCGTAATTCGTCTTTGGTGCAAAAACATTGACGCGCAAGTAAAACTTGTTACGTCTTTAAAGATCGTAAGATAAAATTGGTGCTTCTTAGCGCAAAAGAGAAAATTAACTTTGGTTTTAAAGTGACACAGTGGTTTAGGCGTTACTCGACCGTCTTGTTGTATTGTGTCGCAATAGGTTTCGTAAAACTCCTCCTTTCGTGGTATATGAATGCGCATTTATTTGCATTGAAGATGAACATCATCAATATTGTCGGGCAGATTGGGTTTAATATTGTGAAACCTTCCTTACACATTGCCTTTGACAAATCTTCGAAAACACTGTGACTATTTGAGGTTCTCACAGATAAGTCCCTGTATTAAAAGAAAAACACAGGCTGTAATGTAAACGTTTCCGCATATTGGCATTAAAATTCCTTTGAACCGGTTTGACTGAACTGAAAGATTTGTAATCGCTGTGATATTTTGTTTCAGCTTAAAAAATGCAGCGAGTTTTAAATTCAAATTAGAGCCAGTTGAGCTAAAGTTATTGAATAACGTAGCCTTGAAATTGACCTAATATTCCAGGTAGTCCCTGTATGATCTTTGTAGATTTTTTTTTTTGGGCGCTTTTTCATTTACTTTATTTCGGCTGTTAAAATTTTTTTGTTCTAGAAAACTCATTTCTAAAACAATATCTATGTTCTTCCTTCTGTAATAATTCGACAAATGATCAAATTTTTCCCAGAGACGAAAAGTAACAACAAAAACGTTTTGAAATTAAGCAGACATCTCATGGATGGAAAATTTCATAGAAAGCGTAGGCGAATTTTTCAGAGCAAAAATATTGCGTTACGACCCAGAATTTAAGATTTACAGGGATAGACAGAGGCATGCATGGGAAAGCCAAGATTATAGAAAAGTGCTAGTAAAATGTCGTGTTTGTTCTTTTTTAACGGTTTCTTTTTTTTTTTTTTGCTATTAGTTGATATTCTCTAACGTTTGGAAATAAAAATTTTAAACAACATGATTTTAATCTTGCTATTAGCGTAGCATTTTCAAAACGGCGCCAGATAGTTTTCTGGGATAATCGCTCTTGTCGTAAAATGACAACATTATCGTGGCCAGTGAGCAAAATCATTATACATCAATTGTTAACTGTTTAAAAAACGGATATAGAAAATTTATAAAACGAACTCTCCGTAAAGAATATTTTAGCACGAATGAATTTTGTTGAACGAGATCTTTTGCAAAACAGAATTTTTACCTTATTCTTCACAAAGTTCTTTAAATAAAAATACCGAAATCCGTAGAAACATTGACTTCAAACTGGAGTGACTTTTTTCTTTTCAATGTTCTTTTTTTTAAAAAATGGTAACAATACTGAGTTAATTAGTTTCTTCTTCATATGAAGGTGCTTGATAATGTCACACGCTAGGCCACTGACTGTTACCGCAATTAAAACTCTTCATCATCAAACGACAAGTACAGAAGGTGATTAATCAACTACCTTTATTCAAGAATAGAAGAATGAATAAAACTGAACTAAAATATATTGGCAATATTATAAAACAGGTCCATCCAACTACAGTGACCTTTCGCAAGTGTTTTATCGGTACAGAATATTTTTGTAGATGTTTTTGTGAAGCAAACAATTACGAACCCTCAAATTTAGCGTTTTCTATATAAAAATACCGGATGTTAGTCGTCAAGGCAATTGTATGAAGACTCATTTCCCACATAATAACAAATTACGAAAAGTCCTCACTCGTCACCTATAGACTCTCTGTCAATTTAGAGTGACGGCGGAGTTAATGTGGCGCCATTCTCCCCAGCACACCACTGGTTCATCCCATTTTAATTGCTGGTTTGACAAATTTAGTAAAATTAGAGCACCTGTCTCCTTTGTTTGGTAATATATGTTTGTACAGCAACTTTAATTTCTGTATAAAGCCGTACAGCGCTACATCATTTAACCTCTTGGAACATAATAATTAGCAATAGAACGCCCTTCCTAGTGAGGATGTTGGTAGAACACTCGAAAAGTTTGTAGACCACTCGCCTCCAGCACGTAATTCACAAACTTCTCGAGTGTTCTCTTCAAATCTCAAGTGAGTTATTATTGATGCTAGTAAACCGATAGAAGAGCAGTCTTCTGTTTTTACAGAATAAACTTCAGTTTTCAATGGGTTTATTGGCACAACAAACTATAGGTTTTTGACCAATTAGGGCGCTTGTGGTGTCAGATGAAGATATATAAGGAAGAAATACAAGTAGATTAAATAGACGAAACATAATAACTGATCCCTTGATCTGCAAAACAACAGTGAAGTTAGTTTTTTTTTTTTTAATCAATTGCACTGAAGTTCTGTCAGAACAAGGAAAAAGAACCGATTTTTCGGGGAATTGTCATCGATTCCCAAGTATTCTTCGGCATAAATTAGAATTTATATGAAGTTTTAAAATATTCAAAAAGGCAGAAGTAAGAATAATCTTATGTCGCTTCAGTTATTTCTCGACAGAGAGAGAGGGCAATCATTTTAAATTTATTTTATTTTATTTATTTATTTTTATTTTTTTGCATACTCATCCCGTTAGGAAAAGTGTAGGGTTTTGATCTTAAACTTTGTTTACAAAACTCATAATTAAGTAACCTTTCGTTCTTTCTTAAGGATGACAACCTAGATTGTCTGCCGAAGATGTTTAAAACACTTAAACAGACCACGCTGTTCGGATGGTGTTCATCGTTGTTACCATGTAAAAGAAAAATGTATTTACAAGCAACTAATTTCATTTAAGATACGTATTTATACCGCAGTTCAAAACATATGAACTTCGTATATTCAATGTATAAACTCTTGGTATTACAAAAACATGCAAATCCCTAACGATCATTGTTAGGGAACTGTGCAATCTGTTCTGGGAAAACAGTCGGTTTTGATTTAGCCACAGCTACAAGGGCTTTTAGAATTACTCTGCTACCCTTTCAGGTAACAAAAGCTGTTAGCGATACGATACCATGTTCAAAGTTATAACTAACAACCATTGGACCAAGACGAAGGAAACAATGCGATGCAAAACCACATTCAAAATTTTAACTGACAACCATTTGACCGAGAGAAAGAAGGGGAACGGATGCGCGTCCCACAATATCGATGTACGATTGGCTGCGCTTTTTCTTTAAGAAAGGTGTTTTCAGTTTGGTATATGAACAGTTTGCGACTGGTTAAGCCACGAACAAACAAACACTAATCTGTATAAAACTTTCATCCCTTCAATCCCGCCTGAAGATCTTTCACCAACTCGGCTGTGTAAGTTTTCTGTTTATTTGTAGCATCAGGAGAACTATACCGTTAAAATGGAAAATTGGTGCGTTGAATTTTACATTTCATTATTCTTCTCATTACAGGTAACATTCACGGCTGATTGTAAATTGTCAAAGAGAGAAGAAACGAGCCAACAATTAAATGGCGGCGATCAGAGAAAGGACCCAGCACGAGATTTAAGGATGTTTCATTAGAGAAAGAATCAGCTGCCATACTTCCTCTGTCGACAAACTATTTTCAATTGTTCCCGTTTGTAAGGAATAGGCTAAGACTGGCAGACGACACGAGTAATTCTAACTATTAATTTGACATTTTTATCCAGAAAATAGGTCTGGAAACTTAATTGGAGAATAGGTTTTGCAAACAATGTCTTACAGGTTATCGTTTTTGTTTGAGGTCCTGTAGATTAATCCACTCTAGGTTATTGAATGTAGAATTTTTAAAAACATACTGCTAAATGTTTCAATAATACTGCATGTCATCAATTATCCAAGCAATGTGAGGGCTTTTTTTTTCGAAGTTCCCCCATGATTTGTCGATGACTGATATTTTTATTCGTATATTTATTTGATCGACATTTTGTTTTAGTCTAGCATATCCCACGCGTTCAAAGAGTATTAAAGAAAGCGCGATAGAAAACGGCTCGGTGGTAGCGGAGGAGTGAAAAAACGAGGGAGGGTTGCGACGGATCGCGTAATGAACTCGTTCTTTTACGACGCGACCGCTAATATTTTGCATTGAACTGGCCACAAACAGCTTATTGTAAGACATTTTTAGCCTGCATAAGTCTTTCCTGCCAATAAAGGTTGACGTGACCACAACAGGTAATCTCGTTTCACTTAAGTTTTTGCTTCTGCCATGCGCAGTGATCATTGTGCCAGACTCGGGTGTCACTGATCTGTTATGCGAGGAAAGAAATCTAAAGCAAGATTTATGTTTTTGCTCCGAGTATCCCTTGAATACTGTCATTGAAGCAATTGTTTGCTTCGGGTTGTAGCGAATACTGTTCAGTGTCAATTCTTTCGAGTTCTTCTCAAGGATTATTGAACAATATTCACTTGAGTTGGTAAAATTGGAGAAGTACCATCTTTACCGGATGAGTTCTGGTCTAAGCCTCGAAAACCAAAGCTCATTCATTAGCCGACCATGTGTCATATATTTGTAATGATCCAGAAATAGTCATTAGTAAAAATCTTACGGTGGCAATCGACATAAACCAGTGTTATTCTTTGGAATTGTACACCATTAGGGCTGTACTACGCGGAAACTTCAAATACATCCGATTACTTTATTTCTCAAATTACCACCAAAGAAAAAAAAACCTATCGCAGTTTAGTCGCTGGGATAAGTAGCTCGAAGATACAAAATTTTTCAAATACTTTCAAACTATACCAAGTTAATCTCGAATATTTATAATTTTTTATTATCAATATTTTGGGTTTCCTTCCTTATCAACATCTCGCTCAGCTTGATTTGGCATTTCTTCTGTTTCAGATCAATAAGGAATAACTAACAAAAATTTCAAAATATGGCAATTTCTTCGTGAATGATGATCACGATCAGTCAAATTCCATATTCCACTGAGAGTCGCTCATTATTATCTGCTGTCCCTTATACTGAAGTTAAAACCTATTTTTTCAGCACAGTTACGCACTGTCAATAAGTAGCTGAGGCTGAGTTTAAGTTCTAAAACCCTTTAAGAAGGGTGGATGTGAAGGTTATTATGGGAGACCCACAGTTCACAAAGGAAAATTCAGTTTCCCTTCGATGCAGTTCTTTGACGGATGACTTTTCATTCAAAATAAATCATCTATAATGTCTCTTGAGGTTTTTCTTTATTCTTGTTTGTTCAAATAATACACAGAGCTTGTTTTCTTTCAATTGCCGAGGGAATTTGTTTTTGTTCAATAGTGTAGATTACAATTTAAATCGTTGTTCGTCTGCTCCGAATGAATCAACTAGCAACAGTGGTCCCGTATGAACACGTAGATTGCATCAGTTACCATAGTGATATCCAAGTGACGCGTTTAAAAGTCTCCATCCGCAGTAATTAATGGACTGAAAAAAAATAAACTTGCGACTCAATTCCCACTAAATTGGTGAAGGTTTTATGAAAGGGATCTGTCCAATTATATCCCTCCAGCTCGGAGATGCAAACTCTTTGTCATTTGGTGTTCTATCGTTGGCTAAAATCCTGTGTGAGGAGCATGCACTGATGGGTAAGACAACTGAGGATGGCAGAAAACCGCCGAGAAACCTGACTGACAGTAATTATACGGCGTGTTGTTACCAGGGTGACAGTGCTGGTTACAATGATGAATTCCCGGATGATGGGGACCATACACGTTCCCGGATGATCTTACACTAAATTCCACTTCTGCTGCTATTTTTCTTTTCCATTTCGTTCGGCGATTTTGAAACCAGATTTTGATTTGTGTTTCAGTCAGCTTGAGAGATTTTGAAAGCTCTGTTCGACGAGAAATGGTCAAATATTTGCTCCTGCGAAATTCGTCTTCAAGTTCTTTAACTTGTGTTGTGGTAAAAGCCGTTCTTTTACGCTTCTTGGACGGATCTCGGCATCGTCGTCGCTCTCTTGAGCTGCCCTCCTGTTGTGGGACTAGAACAACATAATAATTTTTAAGTTAGCTTTCGCTAGTACCTTTTTACTTGACTTTCCGTTTTGAAATATTCTAGCTGACGTTTTTATAAGTAGCTGCTATGTGATATTATATTGGAAACTTTTGTAAATATATCGAAAAGTTGTTTTGACTCTTTCACTCCCATGGGAGATCTTGCAAGTTCTCCCTGTAAATTCTTCTCCCGACTGCCGTTCAATTCTTTCTATGTAAGTTCGGAGAATTTGGTATCGAATCCGCCAATAATTTCTAATTGATATTTGTCTTTATTCTCATCACTCGTTTGCTTGATATTGTATTGATATGGTAAGGAGAAATTCTGTTTTAGTCATGGGAGTCAAAGAATTAATTACGATTTGTTACGATAGAAAAATACCAAGAAGGCAAAAAAAAAAAAAAAAAGAAAAAATAGGAACAAACAAAAAGGAACAAATAAGTACACGGTCAAGAAGATTTACGCGAATAATTGATTCTCATCTGTAAATATTGCCACAATTTTTAAAATGGCCAAACTGAACATAAAGAATCAATGTACTTATAGGCTAAGGTAGGAGCCCATTAATGGGCTCCTGGCTAAGGTTAGAGATCTCTTCAATGAATTAAGCTTCGTAACCCTCCCGTGAGCCAGTGACCGATGATTAATTTCTCCTGGTAGTGAGATAACATCTTTTTAACAGATGATGAGAATTAGGAAGAGATACCAGCAGGATTGTTTGATTAACACAGGATTCCTGGAACTACAAAATTTATTGTAAACTAAAGGAGAATCAAAACTGAGATCCTGAGATCGAAAGCGATTGACATGATAATAAGATTGGTAACTGTTACTTGATAAGGCGCGAATGACTACTTGATGCGCAATGAAATTCATCAACTCCATCAAAAATTGAGGGAGATTTTACAAAGTAAAAGGAAACTTTACTTCATCACCACCTGTCATATTTGAAAAATTAGTTAGACATTCTGCTCATCTGCGGTTAAAGTGCTCAAAATTTTTTTAATTTACATCAGAACTGACTACATTGTTAGACAAACTATAAGGGCCGATTGTTAAAACAAAGTTTAGCCGTTGTATAACAAAAGTGCGTTCTAATTCATTTTCAATTTATATTTGTGAGCAGTGTCGAGAGGGCCGAAAGCTAATGGTGGAAGGACGTTTATTTAATTAAATCAACCTATAGAAAATCCTCACCATTTGCGTAAACCGCGGTTTGGGTTAAACCTCGTGTAAAGCGGCCCTAATACTTCATTACATATAACAAACTTGAACTAATCAACCTGAAAAACAGGCCACGTTTTTAAAGAATCTAAATAAAGCTTGCTTTAAAGACTTTTGCGACTGGCATATTTGCACAGGTCTGCCAAATATTTATCTGAAATACTTTTCAAATCAGGAAGAGACGCTTCCTTGATTTTCAGTCATTTAAATCGTGTGTACATTGTACCATTCTACCCCTACAAACTAGCGTACTGCATGAAAAGAAGCGGTATACGTTGTTGGTCGAAAATCCATAAAAATCAAAGGCACAATCGGACTATAAACTTCCTAAGTTTTCCTTCTTATTTTTATGGGTTCACCCATACAATCCTTTAAAAACCCCGCAGAACGAGAACCTGAAATTCTGCATTCCCAGATTGCATTTCTGAAGTCTATTTTGTGCGACTCGTTAAAGATAATTGCCACGTTACATCATTCTCTAATTAACTTTTATTTTTCCATGAAAGGATAGCGGTCTAAGGCTTGAAACACGCCACATTACGTGGGAACTAACACTGAAGATCAGTTCCCAGTAATGAAAAAAAACTGAAAACCATTTGTCAATTTGAAGCCACTTATTGGTAGTCTTAAGAGAGAGGAAGATATTAATGAAACGCTTGCAAAAGTAGTCAGTTTGTCAAACTTGGTAAATTTCACTACTTCAGCGTTCATAACTTGAAGATATCATGAGTGGAAGATATCATCTTCAACTCACTCATAACAGGCTTCACATGAAATCTCTCCTTTAAGGTTGCTTGAGAGAAGTTTTAAATTTTATCGTTAACTCACTATTGCTTATTTACTCCGTGCCATTTCATTGGGTTAATTAAGGTATTCTGATCTCTTACCGGTCGTTTTCCGTGATCTTTCGAATGGAGGGCAAACATGTGGTTGATATTGCTGCCATGTATTCATGCCGCCGTAAAGGAATGGAGGACACATCTGAAAACCTCGCCGTACACTCTCGCTCGCGTTAACTGGAAGTTCAAGTTTTAAATTTGTTTGAGATTCTTCACCCTTGCTGCTAAGAATGTTATCGATGGAGAAACTGGAGGATCGGGTGAAACTTGTGGATTGAGCTTCCATGATGTGCAGCTTGGAAAAGCTTCTGAAGTGGTGCTCTCCACTTTCTTGACGAGAGTCTTGGATCGCAAGTCAACGAGACGGATTCAAATACGGACGTGTTTCGGTGAGCAGCCTCCGGTAAACGGTTTAAATACTGATCGATATCACACTGTGGAACCTCTTATTAGCTTTAAGAGGATTTCATTGGCTAATTGATTAATTAAACTTAACCACTGTGAGTGTTTTGATCAACAGGTTGTTAATTTGATCAAATTGTGGTAACAGTTTGTTAAGAAAAGCTCAACCAATTTGAAAGTTCCTCAAATCAATTTCTCATTTCTTTACCAAGTAGAAAATGATTTGAAAGAATTTTGAAATTCCAGCGCGCCTGCCATGTTTAGCGCTGAACAATGAAATTCACGCCGATAGTTATTATACAACAATTAAGCAGTCGCATTATCACACTATTAGCCCACGGAATCATTCGTTTACTCTTGATTGTGATAAAACCTGGAACATTTTACCTAAGCAAATCAAAACTTGATTAAACTAATTCAGTATTTGTATATTAATCCTGACACGTAGACCAAGCAACAGATGGTTTGATTCAGCTTTTCTTTTCGCATTGTACTTAGTTGGCGTTTGCATCGGCTTGTTCAAAAGTTACGACGTTTAATAACCACGCAGTAGGATATCGAGTGTTATTTTACTCCCGGTGGTGTGCCTGCTTGTTCTTTTCTCTTATAATAGACAGCAATAAAAAGAATTTAACAACAGTCTTTGTTACGCGCGTTTAATTAACGTTTCTTTGGATAGTTTTTTTTTTTTTTGGTTCTGTTTTTCTCAGTTAAGAAACCTTTGATTGAAACCATTTAAAGCTGGTGTCACCTGGTAGACAGAGGGCACATCAGTCAAAGCTATTTCTACGTAGAATTTCTAGTTAAACTATTTTTTGGGAGAAATTTGTAGGTTAATAAGCATTTCGTGGTTTATGATATTAAACTATTGTTTGAGCCCAAAATGTCCAGAATAAACAGGGACAAATTGGCTTCATGCTTGAGGGTAAAGCGGCACGTTCAAAGAACAAAAGTATTATTACACGGTAAGTTATTGCATGGCAATTCCAAAAGATTTAAGTCTTTAATTGCACGAAAAAATTTGCTTATGACGTGAAAAGGCATAGTCAGTCTAACCTCGCATTTGAAAGTAAAATATTTCTAGATATCGATTAATTTGATACGGAGTAAAAAACTATGGCATGGAAAACAGAAGAGACATCGTTCTGTCACTCGATTGGACAGATATTTTGTGATGTCACAGTTAAAGATAAATCATATATCATAAATTATTACAAAGTGACAAATGCGACATTTCCAATTACAATCAGGGCTGGGAATAAGAGACTTATTAGTGATTATTTAACTGTCGCTAAGTCTGCCCTCCTGTTTCATAACCTGATCGAAATAAAATGCAAGGAATGATTTGGGCCGAGAGAACATAATGATCTCTTGTTGTTGTTGTTTTCTTTATTTGTTGTTTGAGGAATCAAAAGAATTTAGAGAAAAAAGGATATTATGCAACATTTTGAAATATCTCGATGTATACGCACAATTTTTCCAAGTTTTATCGGTTCTACAAGGTACTAATTGTGGACGAAGGTGGTATTACAAATTTTTCCCTACGTATGCGCGAAAGTTGAATCATTTGTATAGAGGTTAGTCACTCCTTCGCCACGCCTCGGGATCTACTCTGGTATCCAGGACCTTTCGAGCGTTAGAAGACCATATCGAGCCCATGATGCCTTAGGAGCAAAAGGGTAAGATTGAGAAACACAGATGGCTCTTGTGGAGAAATTTGCGGAGTTTATTTTGACTTTTCTCCAAAATTCCTCCTACACTTTGGTTTTATTAACGTTACTTTTTGCAGTATTTATACCATTGGTTATCTTAAGAATCCGTACAAAGTTGAATAAAAGAGGGCCAAACCCTTTCGCCAACGATTGTCGAAGGCCACCTCGACCTCTAGTCCTGGACCAGGCGGAACGGGACAAAGTTATTAAGCAAGGATTTGTCGCGCGGAAAGTGCCCGAGGACCTCGATGCAATTGTGATAGGCAGCGGAATTGGAGGGCTTACCTCAGCAGCCCTACTGGCGAAGGCAGGGAGGAAGGTTCTGGTGTTAGAGCAGCATGATCAAGCGGGAGGATGCTGCCACTCGTTTGTAGACAAAGGTCAGTTTATGGTTAATAGTAGTCTGTTGATCTGTAAGTCACCTGTGATCTGAAGCTTTCAGCTCTCCCTTGCATCACTACCAACATGCTCACGGGTCAAGCAGAAGGACAGCAGCACACAACCCTTATACGGCTGGTCATTTAAAGTGAACTTTTCAGAAGGTTTGGTTGGGGAATGAGGCTGATTGCGTAATAGTTCATAGCCAGAGTTTTTGGAGAAAAATAGACGGAGGAGAATAATTATTTAACACATAATTTTTGCAATGTGCTTTTTCTTGTACGTTACTCTTGTATGGCTGTGTTTTTTATCTAACAACCGCCCAAGTTTTAATGAACACATTTTTTTTGATGTAGTAGTTAAGATGTTTAGAACTTCCCATTTCACTTAAGAGCCAAAGAACAGGAAACGTTTGCATCAAGCGGAGTTGTAAGTGGCTATTTTTGTCATTCGTTTGAGATCTGGGTCAGACTGTAAAAAATTATTGAAACTTGATAATGTCAAAATATAGTGGTTGAAATAATGTTCCTGTTAATTAACGTAACTGAAGCAGGTGCAAAATTCTTTCTTCGTGCAGTTTCCTCGGAAAGATTTCCATAGAACCCCATACATTAATTATGCATAAAGACTAAAATAATATAAAGGTTTCTTTGCAACACTCTATGCATAATTAATATATGGGGTTATAAGGAAATCTTGCCATTTCCTCTTGCAATGTTGCCCGGAAATCTTTAACAGTCAGACCTTGTTACCAAAGTCACAACACTGATCAGTAAATTGCAGGAATTACTTTGCTTTACTTGATGATTCTGTCATTAACAAGTAGAAGTTATAGATCCTAGATGACATCAAAATGTGTTAAGGACAAAAAAGTGTCACACAAGGGGCAGCCAAGTGTGTCATTGATGTTCTTACCCTGATCTATCACTGAACAGCCCCACAGCAGCATTGAACTGAATCTGTTAGATTTAATCATGATGTCATCCTTATGTCTGTCCATTAATAGATTATGAGGAATAACCAATCAAAATGTGTGTAATTTACCATATACAAAATGTTTTGTTGAAGTCTTACAACAAATTCACGAATCCTATTAACTCCCACAAGTAATTAATATGTAACTTCTCCCTACAATATTCATACATGATCCAGCAAACAAGTAATGAGAATACTCAAACTTATCAGGTTGAAGTTGTCCTCTTGATATAACACTGAATTCTTATAACTACTTTGCAATGAGAATTCACAATTGAATCTTGGGAGTTATAGGGTCAATAGAAGCCATGTGATTCGGTTCTTTTTGCCCCTTCTGTTATTTTCATTATTTTTTAACACCTTCTGGTTTACATTACAGGGTATGAATTTGACCCAGGTATTCATTACATTGGAGAAATGAGCTGCCAGGGAACGATGCATCTTCTGTCAGATCAGCTAACTGAAGGTCAGCTGGCTTGGGTTCCCCTTGAGAAACAGTATGACACTGTAGTGATCGGCAATGGAGAAAATGCAAGGAAATATCCAGTCTGTGGTGGAAGACAGGATGAATACTGCAGTGCATTGTATAAAAGTTTTCCCAAAGAGAGGAAAGCTATTGATCAATACATGAAAATGCTTAAGGTAAATGTTCTATTATATACGTACAGTTTTTGAGCTCTGGTTTTTTTTTATCCCTCATCCTGCATCTCTTATCAACAATTCCCAACAGAACTTTCATTTACCTCATGTACAGCTACACAAAAAAAAACAAGTGAGCATGCCATCTGACCTGTATGATATTGACCTGGAAGCAACCTATCTGTCTGACTTAGAATCTCTTGACACCATCATCATTTTTTTACATTGATGCAAGAAAGAGAGCCCATACCCAATCTTTAATATGTCGAGCGTGTTTCCAGTTACATATTTTACCAATTGTGCTTGAAATATGAGACTTCTTGGCTCTAGTCAGCTGGTGTCCATCATCAAATGAGTCCAAGTAGAGCAGTGTAATGGAATATTAGAACAAATTCACTTGGGCCTGTGAATTCAAAGTTTACTCTATGGACTTGAGATTTTTATTGCTTGGCAGGTGATGAGGACAAAGCCAAATCAACTTCCACACCTTTAAATATCCATTGTAAATATTATGATCAATATTTTTTTTGGTTCAATGAATAATTGATAGTTATTTGAAATTAATTATCAAGACAGGTCTATGTTTTAGTTTTATTTTATTCATGCTCCAGAGCAATTATAGTCCTTGATGCACTTACTCAAGCTACATGTGTGGTCTTAGAAATAGGTAGATGGCATTCTGAAAGATCTGTGTTATCAGGCCATTTTTGTATGGGAAATACAACACTACTTTAAATGAGAAAAAAAAGTCAAAATTAAGGTACACATTTTGGTATGATAAGAAAAACAAAACAGACTTGGCTTAGAAGGGGGAGAGTGATTAACTCTTTAACCATAAGAATGACTAGTACCTGATTTCTCTTTACAATATCACCCCTGAATCAGTCATAAATAACATCACAAGAATGAAGGAAATTATTTACAGCTTAAGAAGCTGTTGATTGTTAAACATTTTCTTCTTGTCAGCACCTTCGGAAATGTATGTAGAACAGTATGGAGAATATGCATACTCGGTGCTTTCAATAAGATTTGAAATAGGTGGCTACCTTGGTACAGCACCCACCAGAGAGCGACTTGAGTGTGACTTGAACGTGGTGACCACGACTTGAGCGTGGTGAAATATACCCGGCGACTCGCAACAGAATACCTGCCAGAGCTTCAGTGGGTGCCGGGTCTTATTGAAAGCACTACATACTGATGTCAGGGTGTAAAGAGTGAAGAACATAGAAGGAAATGGAATTGGATTAAAGAACTTTAAGTTCAGGGTGTTTTATCAAGAGGTACACACACAATGACATGGCCTCTTTAAGTTCAAATGAATAAAGGGGGTAAGTTTCTAAAGAAACTGTGGTGTTGCGTCGGTGCGGGTAACAAGGTAATTTGGGAATATCAACCAAGTTGAAATTATAAAGTGGCCACCGTAAGGAGTTATGGTTTTATGGTTTCTTTACAGGATGTGCGAAAGTCAATGCCAGGTTATGTAGCATTCAAACTCATGCCTGAATGGCTGGCCAAATTCATGTTTACAACTGGAATTGCTGACTGGATGACAAAGTTTTTCAAGTATTCGAAAAGATCAGTTGCTGAAGTGTTGGAAGAGCTGACAGATGATAAGGATCTTCAAACTGTACTGGCATACAATTTTGGTGATTACGGTGAGAGTTAGCAAACTTTACATCTTGCCATAATTTCCGGCCGTTTAACCGTGGGTAATCTGTTGATTTTGTCTTAACACACGCCACTGTGGGTAATAGGGAGATGCGGATTATGTGACAATTTTGAAATCTACTGGTAGTTGAATTGAAAAAAATTCTCACCCACCTGCATTTCCACCTCTCAGATGAATTTTGTTGTATTAAGACTGCCACTAAGCGGCACGAAAACATGATGCAACTTGAGTTTATTTTAGCCACAATTAGTTGACCAATGAACAAATTACTATTGGCACACGTGTAAACAAAACCGTGATGGTGACAAAAATAAACCAAGGATAACCGGCGTATCAAATTTAGCACTTGACCCTTTAACTCTAAGGAGTGACCTGGAGAGAATTTCTCCTTACAATATAAATACAATATCAAGCAGGCAAATGATGAGAATAAAGAAGACTATCAAGTTTTAGTTCTTATTAACCAAGTGGGAGGTCTGTATGGGAGAATCTTGACCAAGGTCGCCAGTACAGACCAAATGCAGTGAGGTCTGTACCAGCGAATGAGGTCAAGATTCTCCCATACAGACCAACCTAGCTCGGTTAATAAGATGTTTATTATATGGTTGTCTTATATGCCAATTTTTTTATATTCTTTGTACCTTTTTTTTTNGGTAGGGTGTTTCAGGTGATGCAAAGTGCCTAGGGTAGGGTAGGGTGTTTCAGGTGATGCAAAGTGCCTAGGGTAGGGTAGGGTGTTTCAGGTGATGCAAAGTGCCTAGGGTAGGGTAGGGTGTTTCAGGTGATGCAAAGTGCCTAGGGTAGGGTAGGGTGTTTCAGGTGATGCAAAGTGCCTAGGGTAGGGTAGGGTGTTTCAGGTGATGCAAAGTGCCTAGGGTAGGGTAGGGTGTTTCAGGTGATGCAAAGTGCCTAGGGTAGGGTAGGGTGTTTCAGGTGATGCAAAGTGCCTAGGGTAGGGTAGGGTGTTTCAGGTGATGCAAAGTGCCTAGGGTAGGGTAGGGTGTTTCAGGTGATGCAAAGTGCCTAGGGTAGGGTAGGGTGTTTCAGGTGATGCAAAGTGCCTAGGGTAGGGTAGGGTGTTTCAGGTGATGCAAAGTGCCTAGGGTAGGGTAGGGTGTTTCAGGTGATGCAAAGTGCCTAGGGTAGGGTAGGGTGTTTCAGTTGATGCAAAGTGCCTAGGGTAGGGTAGGGTGTTTCAGGTGATGCAAAGTGCCTAGGGTAGGGTAGGGTGTTTCAGGTGATGCAAAGTGCCTAGGGTAGGGTAGGGTGTTTCAGGTGATGCAAAGTGCCTAGGGTAGGGTAGGGTGTTTCAGGTGATGCAAAGTGCCTAGGGTAGGGTAGGGTGTTTCAGGTGATGCAAAGTGCCTAGGGTAGGGTAGGGTGTTTCAGGTGATGCAAAGTGCCTAGGGTAGGGTAGGGTGTTTCAGGTGATGCAAAGTGCCTAGGGTAGGGTAGGGTGTTTCAGGTGATGCAAAGTGCCTAGGGTAGGGTAGGGTGTTTCAGGTGATGCAAAGTGCCTAGGGTAGGGTAGGGTGTTTCAGGTGATGCAAAGTGCCTAGGGTAGGGTAGGGTGTTTCAGGTGATGCAAAGTGCCTAGGGTAGGGTAGGGTGTTTCAGGTGATGCAAAGTGCCTAGGGTAGGGTAGGGTGTTTCAGGTGATGCAAAGTGCCTAGGGTAGGGTAGGGTGTTTCAGGTGATGCAAAGTGCCTAGTAGTTTTCCTTTTTTTGGTTGTTAGTCCTGGCTTGTTAACTCTTTGTTGTTGTTGTTGATTTTTGTATTACCTTCATATTATTTTGCCTTAGCGCTAGCGTCAGAACATCACGTCATTTTTTCAATTGTCTGTTGTCATAAATAGAAAACAACATTGCAAAAAAATGTTGCAAGTGTTACAGAATGAAAGAATGATGTGTAGAGGGTGGAGAATATTACCCTTATTTCTAAATCATGAGGTATAAAAACTAAATTGCAACTTTTGAAGGTGTAAGCCCTGTTCAAACCCTAATTGTTTACTGTGTGGAGGTAACTCAAGAGATGGAACTCCTTAACAAGCATCAACCTTAATTGAAAACAATAATTTGACTGCACTGTGGTTACACTGAGGTTAAGTGGCAGACACAACATGACCTGACGTGACAAGCTGTAACAATTGCGTGACTAAACATATTTCATCGCAAGAACATAAGTAAAGAAATAAATGAAATGAAATGAGACAACAAAACTGTTTTTTTTTTTTCTTTTCAGGTGTTCGTGTTGAAAAGAGCGGTGGTGAGATGGATATTTTTGCTCCAGTTGTGATCTCTGCTGCAGGAATCTACAACACGTTTGAGACACTTCTTCGACGTGAAAAACCCATACCCGACAAGAAGTTGCTAAAATCCGAGGGTGTTCGTCATGGTTACGCAGCCATGTCGGTCTACGTCGGCCTCAAGGGGACGAAAGAGGATTTCGGACTAAAAGCCACCAATGTGTGGGCTTTTACCAACAGTGACCTCGATAAAAGCACCAGGGAGTACCTTCAATCTGACGCTGGTACTGCCGGAACTAAAGATATCCCCCTGGTATTTATCTCCTTCCCCTCGACTAAAGACCCCGAGTGGGACAAGCGACATCCCGGTAAAACGACATGTACTGTCATAACCCTTGCCCCGTACGAGTGGTTTGAGAGGTGGGAGAACGAACGTGTTATGAAGCGAGGCGAGGAATACGAGGACCTCAAGAACCGTATCGGCAAGCGAATCTGGGAACAGACTTGCAAGCTCTTTCCGCAAGTTCGCGACCGGGTCGATTTCTTCGATGTCGGGAGTCCTTTGAGTAACAGATACTACATCGCTGCTCCTCGCGGGGAGATATACGGTATTGATCATCACATTGACCGGTTCAGTCCCAACGCTGTAATGAAACTCCGCCCGGATACGTCCATCCCCGGGTTATATCTTACCGGCCAGGATATCCTAAGCTGTGGGTTCGCTGGAGCGATGTTCAGCGGGGTGATTACTGCATCAGCTGTCCTCAACAGGAATCTGTTTGCTGATATAGGTCGTCTGCAAACGGAGGTCAAGAAAAAAGCGGCGAAGCGCGGAGACATGGAAAACAGAGTGGCCAGTGATGGTTCAGACAAAGAGGGATCCTAAACGTATTTAGTCATAAGCCAAAAACTGTGTCGCGCAATAGAGCGTTCATCTAATAGAGATTGCCTGGTTGATTGATAAAGTTCGTAACTACCTGCAAGAATCATCGAATCCTAAATAAACAGGGCTTTAAATGAGAGCAATAATGGTTCTCACTGGGTGGAAAATCTATTTATTTTAATTATTAGTTTTCAATTAAAATTGCTTTAAATTAATGAAAGGCGTGCAAAATTATTTTTTTTAATCAAAAACTTATCTTTCGTGGGATATTTAATTAAAAAAACGACGGTTAAGAATTAACCAATAGGTCTGACTGTCGCTTCAAACAATTAACCCTTTACATTCTAACATCAGTATGCATATTCTCTATACTGTTCCGTATGCATATTCTCCATACTGTTCCGTATGCATGTTCTCCATACTGTTCTCTGTACAGTTCTTAAGGAGCTGATAAGGAGAATTCGTTGAACGATCAAAACCATCTTGAGTCGATTTTCATTTCCTTCATTCTCGTGACTATATTGTGTGAAACAAGGGTGATATTGTAAGAGAAATTATTAAAAGTTGGATCATTGGATAATGCAATTCAAGACATTTTATTGGCTTAGCCATTGTGGTATATGAGCCAATATACCATAATCTACAGATATGGTAAGCGTACGCGTCAGCTTAAAATTAAAAGGGAGCTAAAATATTTGTCTAATATAAAGATTTGTCTAATATCTTCGGGGCGTTTTTAATAAAACAATAAAACAATTGGCTATCTATCATCTCGTATCCAACAAGCGCGAGTGGAATAATTGTTACTTAGATGCTGGTCACTCTAGAGGAATAGAGAGGATAATAAGGTTGCATTTTATTGTATTGGACTGGTAAAACCTTTTTAAAAATGAGTAATTTGTATAATTCCCAGTGATCACTGAGGCGAGGTCATCTGGTATTCTTGACTATGTATAGGACGAATGAAACATAATTCGTGTATTTCAGTATTATTTTTTTAGAGAAAAGTAGGGTATGGAAGGTCTATTTACGGGTAACGAAGAGGGTGTAAACCTTGCAACCACAGCTACCCATCCGTGAACTATTCACTCACTAAAGTGATTTTAAATAAAGTTCTTTTAAGTATGTGTCCGAAGATGAGTCATATTCTCAGGCATTAGCAGTCGACAGTTATTTTCAGTTTCTAAAAGTTTTGGAACGATTCCATTGATCTGCAGAATTTTTTAAGAATTCAATTAAGACTTTTCTTTTTAGGCAAACCTTTCAATAGTGGTTAAATTATGAATCCTATATAGCCAATTTAACTGTAACATGTAATTAATTTTTATTTAGATGAGATTTTAATATTTAGAGATATCAACTGTAAAGCGCTATTGATCTGTTATTGTAAGTAGCGCTATATAAGAAATAAATTATTATTATTATCTTCAATTGCGTTAATTGGTGCTACTGGTCTACAAACTCCTAACCACCCCCTCAACCAATCAGGTGCAGACTTTGTCATTATTCTTAGTTATGATCTGAATTCTTATTGGTTTCATATTTTTTCTGAGATCTGATTGGCCGTTGTGATCATTTTAGTCATGCGACAGCCGATCGAAATGCGCTATGTTCCACACTACCGTTATAATAACTCACTTCCTGAATCGAAGTCATGAGTGTCTGAGAGATTGTCATGTTTCACCTTATCCCTGTTTCTCTTTTCTCCCCTACAGCCGCCCCCTGGTTCACTGTCGTTTAAAAACTGAACCATCGAGAGTCGAGTGAAATTGCACGAATCTTGCTTCTGATACTGTTGAGTTCCACTACCTTCCCAATTACTTTTGCCATGATCGTACTGACTCAGTCGCTGGTCACTTCTTTTGTCACTGAGTCACGCCGAAGCCAGCCAGCCATATATTAGCCAGGTCAGAACAGTTTTATTGAAATATAGATAGGCAATAACCGTGTCAACTAACAACGATCCAGACGTACTTCACCTATTAATCTTGAAAGACTTAATGATCAATGTCTTTAGTGAAACTTGGTGAAGGGAGCGCAAACAATGCAACCACAACTACCGTTTCGCAAATTATAGTCAGAAACAATATTTCTCTCTTAAAGTGGCCTAAATGAGTTTTCAGAAGTACTTGAGTGCTCTCGTGCAGTTTGTTTTAAATGGACAAATGTTTATTCTTAAAGTTCACATTTCCCAAACGTTTTAAATCTAGCCAGCACTTCACTTTGCAGTGGTAATCGCGTGATCAACAGCCATCATACAAGCGAACACGGTCAGCACCATCTTAGCCTTCACTTCCACCAGGTCCTCTGGCAGTGCGTACAGTTTGGCGCCAATTTTTCGCCCCATGGAGATGGCGTACTTGGCGTTCGACAACTTGTCGTCGTTTGACAGTGTCTTCCCTTCGGCCAACATGTTATAACGTATAACACCTGGCTTGATGCTGTCGATTAGATCGATCACTGACTTACCGTTTGAGATGCTGACATCTTTTAAACAAGTTATTCTGCTGTCTTTCGCGCCGTCTGTCAGTTTTTCATTGACCCATGCGATGATCTCTTCATCCTTGATTATCTTATCGCTTCCGGTGCATTTTTGCAGGACCACCAGTGTGTAAGCGCGCATGGTCTGGTAAAGGATACCCAGTATCAGCTTCTTGTTAACGTCGAAGATGTCTTTGCCTCCGATTCCTACCACGGAAAATTCAAGTTTCTTGGCGACCTCGACCACGTAATTACAGTTCTCGAGTTTCTTCATCTTCTCGCTGATCTTTTTGTAAGGTGGCCTGTTGACCTTGCTCCAGTCCACCACGCCGCTCTTCACCTGAATAAGTGAAAAAAAAAAAAATAGCTATTTGACGACATGGCTCACATTTTCCCCTACCCCCTTCGACCGTTGCTGACCCATCCTAGCCTACAGAAAGGGCAATGTGCCTTTTTTCTCAGTCGATTGAAGGCAAGGGCGAGGCCAGCGCGAATAGCAAGTAACGCGTCTGTTTTCTTCGCCTCCTACCTCTCGCATGACATATATGAACACAGCATGACCAGTTGGTCAGCAGGTTCTCTGTAGCTCAACTGGCAGAGCATCCGTATTGGAAAGTCAATGCTGGCTGACCTTCGAATCCTCACGTATGACTGAGATTTCTTTCTAACGATTTTGGGCGCTCGAATAATACACACAAATACATCGCAAGATACTTAATTCGCTTTTCGCGGATGTGAGGAAAATTTGCAACGTTCTCCATAGGAATTGAACCAAAGAACAAGCTAGGCTCTATGAAGTACTCGCGAGATAGTCTGACTATAGTTTCTCGAAACCAAGATGAATAACATAGAATGTTTTTTGTTTGATTCATGTCGCTCCGTAATTGGTCCAAGAATCTCGCTCAACCATTTACATTTCATACTAAAACTAAAGGCGCCCTGGGTAGCCACGTTTTCTTGCGCTTTGGGTCGCTGTTGATTGTTTCCACTTTGATCTCTCCTTAAAGTCCCTATGACACCCACTTTTCAGATTAAATTATAAAAATAGAATCATGTAGAGGGTGTCTGGTAAGATTTTTGAGTGATTCTGATGCATCTTTGTTATTTTACGAGGCGATAAAAGTCCGAAATTGTAGCGAACTTAGGCTCTCCTTATCTCTTTGGCCGAAAGAGTGAAAGAGTATTGGTACCCAAATATTCATGACGTCACGGTAGTAAGACCAAGTTTATCAAAGAAGCAAAGTGTGTGTGGAATCTATTGTTTACGATCTTTTGAGCGAAAAAATGCCGTTTCGATGTGTAGTTTGGGGTTGTTCAAATACCCCTGACTCGAGAAAGAATATTTCACTCCACGAGATTCCTTTCGAGGGCGATCAAAGGGGAAAGAGGTGGATTCAGTTCAATACCGTAATTATTTGCTTATAAGCCGATCCTAGCTATAAGCCGAGACACTAAACTTCTAGCTTTCAGAGGCTGTTGGATTTTTATGAAAACACCGACTTCGAATTCACGCATATGTTCAATACTGCAATCATTTGCCTATGAGCCGATCCCGTCTATGAGCAGCGACCAAAACTTTTGTCGAAATATTGTAAAAGGTCAACGTGAGTTGTTAACTGAGACGAATGGTGAGCTTAAAATGTCAGCAAAACGAGCTGTATTCAAAGTATCCTGAATTAAATCAAACACTTCTGGAATGGTTCTCGTATGGGGCGCCAAATGTATTTTTATTATTTAGAGTGGTTAATATTTGTATATAACCAAAACAAGTATGGTTACATGTAAATAACCACATTGCAGTTTGGTCATTTATAAATAACCAAAACGAGACATTGGTTAATTAGCAAATAACCAAAACATGAATGTGGTTATTTGCTAAATAACTAAAATTGCAAAGTGGTTATTTGCTAAATAACCAAAACTGTAAATTGGTTATTTGCTAAATAACCAAAACCGGAAATTGGTTATTTGTAAATAACCAAAACTGAAAATTGGTTATTTGCTAAATAACCAAAATTGAAAATTGGTTATTTAGCGCAAAATTGGTTATTTACCTAATTTGGTATGGACACGTAACAACCACCTCACGTGGTTGTTACGTGCCATTTAAAAATCTCAAAAAGTGTCAGTTTACATCGCGCACTTGACATAATTCACACGTGGAAGACATCTGCTCGTGGAAAGTCGTTTCTCGTGGATAAAAAACATAACTCAAAATTAGAGAGGAGTCCTTGGGTAAAGAAAAAGAAAAAAACAGGCCTAAAGAAGAGAGAAATGGAAGCATTTTGTCAAAAGAAAAAAAAAAGTCCTTGCTAAAAGGGACAAAGGCTCTTGGTTTGGCGAGGAGCCTTCGACAAGCTCGGCATCCTCTGAAGATCGGCAGCTTTCGATTATCCTTGGGGCAAGCGATAGAGCGGGATCAGGGTCAAAATCCAGTTCCAAATAGGAACAGGCACAACAAAAAGTCAGACATCAAAATAGGAACAGGCACAGCTTATTAGGAACAGGCACAAATCATTAGGAACAGGCACGGCACTATAGGGACAGGCACAGCCTATTAGGAACAGGCACAGCTTATTAGGAACAGGCACAGCTTATTAGGAACAGGCACAGCCTATTAGGAACAGGCACAGCCTATTAGGAACAGGCACAGCTTATTAGGAACAGGCACAGCTTATTAGAAACAGGCACAGCTTATTAGGAACAGGCACGCCATTATAGGGACAGGCACAACCTATTAGGAACAGGCACAGCTTGGCTAAGCGAGGAGCACTGGGCATCAAGTTCCCCAGAAGGCCCTATGAGAGGCAATTAAAGATGGCTACCAGAATGCAGCAAGTAAGTAAATGGCGAAGTATTGATCTCTTCTCCACTCGTGTTTTCCACTATGCTGAGAAGTTGCAAATGTGTAGTAAGCCTGTGCGAGCAAACGGGTTTAATCATTTATCTCTAAACTTTGATGTGTCACTCGCAATTGTTGGCAACGAATTTTAAGAATACGTTTGTATAAGAACATAACCTTAGTCAATCTTGTGAAAAGGAAAAAAAATGTGTCTGTTCGAAAATATAAGATGGATTCTTTAGAATCGAGGCTAGTGAAATCAACCAATCATCTGGCTTAATATTCTGATTAGGATGGAAAAGATGTGGTGCTTGCTCAGAAAATCTCTTCAGCTTGATTAACAAATATTGTAAATTAGTGATGACATGTTGAGGATATTGACAGCCCCTTCACATTTATATTGCAAATAGTCAGCACATTCTTCACTTAGATTTCCACTTTGTACATATCTTAGGACTTCTTGAAACGTTCTTCTTGTGTGAGTTTCCATCCTAATCAGAATATTAAGCCAGATGATTGGTTGATTTCACGAGCCTCGATTCTACAGAATCCATCTTATATTTTCGAACAGGCACAGCTCATTAGGCTAATGAGCTGTGCCACTGAAGGTTGTAAACAAGATTCTTCGTCGGAATCTGACGAAACGACTAGAGAAAAAGAAGAATGCGACAGATTTACCCTTTCTGCCGCGGATTTTTCCTTCGCCGACTTTGCCCAGTACTAAACGATCAACAGAGTGAGATAAAAAAACGTGACTGCTAGGCGATACTTTTCCCGGGAAAATCTTGACCCACTGTCATTGACGCTAGGAGGCCTCGTCTTCTCATTGGTTCGCGGTTTCAGTAGGCGAGATAATCTCCTGGTGTGGCGCTCGTTGTTTACAAACCTTTAGGAGCTAATATCTCGCATTTGATTTTGAGAGGAATACATACACTTTGAGCGAATTTATAGGGTATGTAGATTTGACCGATTTTCGTGAAATTTCGCCAACACATTCCTGGGATGATGACGAACAAAAGTGTGTCAGGAAATTTTGATATTTGAAATATTTTTTACGGGTCTCTGTAAAACAAGGACCGGATAGATGCGGATGGCGGATGCGGATGGCGGATGCGGAGAGAAAAATGCGGATGAAAAATTGCGGATGGAAAAATGTGGATAGAAAAAAAAAGGTTGCAAAAAAAAAACAACAACAACATTAAACATGTCATTACAGTCGAACCCCGCTATGTCGAACTCGGTTGGATTTACCCTTGTTTCACTGCTAAAACACCAAAATAGCGCTAACTCGCCGAAAACGCTTCAAAATGGCCTTAGACGCCGGTGACCAACAAAGAATACAACAAGGCAATAAGGTAAGTCAATTTTATTTCAAAACATGACATTTTTTCTCTCTTTTAAGGTAAACCGATAACATCCCATACAAACCTTTATAAATAACCATTGCGCAACACTGCAAGAGTCACGTCCGCGCTGCTAGTAGTGAGCTTGGGCTGCCTGTGTCACAATACAAATCAATCAACGCTCTCGTTCATGAAACGCTGCCACTCTTTCATGTTGACGCCTACCATGATGGAGGTCGTGGTGGAAAGTTCTGGTTCAGAGAGCGGGGAGTTGCCTGTTTTTGAGATCACATGGTGAGTTACTGTTACACTAATGGTTTTGTCATGTTTAATTTGGCTGGTGCTTCCTAACTTCCTGAGCAAACTGTATCCTTTTAAATCTGCGATTTGTATTTTTCCGATTTTCCGGAGTCAGAACACAACATGGAAAGAGATAGGACGTAGGGTGTCTTGACTTTATATCTACAAATCTCTATTTTTCTTCTCGAGTTTGAAATGAATCTTGTTGAATAGAGGTTTTACCAAAGAGTTTATATTGTTAAACTTTAATAAATGAATATGCTGCTTCAGCCTGTGTCTGACCTTCGTTCTATTTTCACAAGCTTTACGTAAAGCTTCCGTCTATCAATGAATAAAAAGTATTTTTTGTTAAACACCTTTGTACTTAAGCTTAATTAAATAAAATCTCAAGTATGTTCGATTCAGTTAGTGTTTACCCCTGTTGTATAATACTGAGATCAACGAACTAAAGGAGGTGTAAGAAAGTTATTTTTAATTTTCTTTCTGTTGTTTATCAGGTAGTAGTTACCGCTTGTAAAGTTTACTTTATCCTTGGACATTTGTTTTCGAACATATCTTTGTTTCCTTAATTTTTTTGGCACACGCGCGGGTATTTTTTCCGCCATATTTTTGATTGAATCCAGTTTTTTTAAGCATATTATCGAAAAATTACACTTCTTACTGATTGGTTCCACACCCCTTAGTTATTGTCACTCGCCCAAATGTCCAGGGTTAACTTAGACTATAGAGAGATAAGACTGAAGCTTGAACTGCATGTAAGGAACTTTGGTTAAGTTTGCGAATTAAAGAAGATAAGAATTCTTGATGTTTCTCAGTGGAACTATCATCCCCCGTCATTCCAACTTTGAGGACTTTTTTTGTGCTAAATTTCCTCCTCTATTTAGTCTTGAATAACCGGAGCAAAAGGTAAATTCCTTTTTAATTACTACCTCAGCGAATGTTGTTTTGTTGTTGTTGCTGTTTTATTTTTTCCAACCGATTTCTTTTTCTATCCGTACTTTTCCATCCGCAATTTTTCATCCGCATTTTTCTATCCGCATCCGCCATCCGCACCTATCCGGTCCACGTTTTACAGAGACCCATTTTTCACGTGGTGTCCATTTACGCAACACGCTTCGCATATTTTTCGCTACTCTAACTTTAGATGCGAATATCTAAACAACCAACCAGAATATCGGAAAAGTCTGACACAGTATTGTTGATTGATGCCTTGTGAATGAGACTGTGCACCCATTTTTCTCGTGCCGCAGGATCCCATACCGGATATATTCAATAGAAGGACCCTCGGTCGTTTCACGCCGTACCGGCTCCTGGCACTTCCTAAATGAAAAAATCGCCTAAATTATATTTTTGGCGTAAACAGCATTTGTTAAGCTTTGTTTTGATGTATAATTTGTTAGGGTTTTCTTCAAACTAGCGCGCGTACGAATTTTTTCCCGAAGGACACCCGCGAAGGTAGGAAGTAACCTTAACACTCATTCTTGAAGTTATCACCAAACAAAACGGCTCCATTCAAATAAAAGTGATTGGGTAACTATAATTTTGCGTAAGACTAGTAATTTGTGTAAGTTGATGACCGCGCGGCTCTTCAAGAGCCGAATAAACATTAAATTTACGGTATTCTCTTGTAAGAATTTTGTTTTTTAAAGAAATACTCGCCGTAAGCCGAACCCCCAGTCTTGTTAACGTTTGATTAGTTCTCAGAGTATTTTCGTGCAAAAATCGCTCAGCTTATAGGCAAATAAATATGATACATTTCAAGCCGGAGGATTTCTCAACCGATCGGCTTTCTCGTATCTTTCAGTACAGCCCGCGATTTAAGAGAATCCGTGCATTCTTTGCTCTTTTGACAACAACGGCCTTCTTTAAAATTTAACAAGAACTCGGTGCATCAATGGCCAGAACAACACCTAATAAGATTCCCAACATAAACTAGAAGACTGATAACATGCAGTTTGTAAATTCCCGCTCGAAAGATCTAAGACGATGTGCTGATTACAAAATTTATATTTTATGTCCAACCATATCAAACAAATTGCAAGTTATTTGCTTCAAAACTTTGTAGGTCTTACATAAGAGAAATAAGAGCGATATTGATGCAAGATTCGAGAACCCGGCTTGAGAAGACGATGGTGTCCACTGAGCTTGAACATGCGGTCACTAAAGTCGGCAAAAATTCATGTAACGTACCACTTTCCGTAGATTCGAGACCTTTCAAACGACTTGTTAACATTCTGTCCCTTTTCTGTTTTTTTTTTTCCGATACGCTAATGGCTTGTCTGAATTTGGCCCTTCTATGTTGTCCTCCCTGTCCTCCATCTCACCGCTTTGAGTTGCAATTTCGGATTCAATCGCCACGTATTGCGGAATATAATTAAACTCTGAGTCATCGGAGTAGAAACTTTCGTCAGAATAACAGGAAATATCGGACATAATGACACGAAACTATCACCGAAATAGCCAGGGAAATTACAAAGCCCACTTGTTTGCATGATAAGAACATATGCTTACTACTTTGACGTCACGGGACCCAGTCCCCTCTTGCTCGGCCAGACATTTATCTAAGGATTATAGAGCTTGATAAAAAATTCAGAAAACGGTAAAATACCGCTAATGTTGCTGAAACACGTTCTAGAGTCATTACATTTTGAGGTGAAATAATAAAAAAATAAGTGTGACAGGGACTTTAAGTCCTTGTGAAAATTTCCTTTGGTCTGATTTATTGTTGTAATTACTTTGATTTTACCTTCAAGAAAAGCGCCCGAAATGACTGTGCGCCGTTTAGTGGCAAAAACAGGAAATGACAGGTTCTTTATACATTACCAACTCAAACAGCTGAAGGAGAACGCAACCGTCATCTAAATCTAGGAAAAGATTTTGCACAAACGGATTCACTCCCATGCTGTTCATCCAGTTACGGAATGTCTTCTCTTCTCGTGTTTCTTCAAGGTTCGGCAGCTCTTCTTCAACTGGCTCCAGCGCAGGATAGTTATTAAACAAGTTGCAGACGAATGCCAGATTCAACTTCGCGTTTCCATTAACAATATTCCTGACTCGCACAAACTTGCGGCATTTCATCTTGGCGGCATTTTCGAGTACAAGCTCGGCAAGTTTCGTCGGGTCTGACACGCTCACATGTGGTTGGTCGACCCCAAGTTGCTTAGGGGCGATCTGGAAGGGGAAAATGCTAAATTTATTAAAACTAATCTAGAAAAAAAAATAGAATTCCAAAGCGATCTTCGCAGTGATGAACACTACTTGAGCAGCGAAAATAAGGCCTGAAAAAAAATTCAGGCCTGTACGGGATACCGGTGCAGTGCTCTACCAACTGAGCTAGCTAACTAGCCAACTGAAGTGAAGTGATGAAGAAATGACCGTGAATATATGAAAATGATATCTGTGAACTGCGCATTCAAATAAATTGGTCATTCAACAGAAGCTGCAGGACGGTTTTGGCATTATGGCCGGAACTCCTGCGTTCTAATTTGTCTCATTGGTGGTTGTATGGTTTATTCCAGATTTAACTGAAACAAACATAACGTCAATGACCAGAATCCGAAAGAGAAGAAATCATGATTCACACGAAGTTCGATCTCAATGGAAAGCTCTCCTGCTATGCTTCTCATGAGCTCTAGGTTCAGCTTAAAGTTATTTTAACCGTCTCCCGGTTAGCTCAATGGATAGACCGCTGGACTGTTGTGCGGGAGGTCGAGGGTTCGAGTCCCGGCCGGACCAACACTCAAGGTCTTAAGATAATTGAGAAGAATATGCTACCTTTCTATAACATCAAGAAATGGTTAGATATTCTAGTCTTCTCGGATAGGGACGAATAAATGGAGGTCCCGTCTCCTGCAGGGTTAGGGGTAGGGGACGTTAATTTCCCACGCACGAGATTACTGTGTGATGGATGTCCTCCCTGGGGGGGGATGGGTGGGGTTGTTCGAGCTTAAACCTCGTAGGGGACCCATGTCCTGTTGTTTCTGCTCCTGTACTTGGTACAAATCCTCAAATAAAAATAAAAAAATTAAATTAATAAATTAAAGAAATATTTCTGATTACCTGGTGAAGTAGAACACTGTAGTTCTCCGCATCAGAGATATCAGATGAGAAGTTAGCGACGCGCCGATGGTGCCCGGCCTCTTGGAGATGGTAGTTGAACCAACGGAGCAAGATGGCTTCTGGGGAAAGACGGAGCAGTTCCTCGATGGTCTCGTCGTCTTGAACCAGGCGAACAAGCCCGGGACAATTCTGAATGGTCAGTTGAGCGAACAGACCAATCTAAGAGAAAGCAATAATAAGCATCAGAAAGAGTATGTTCTAATAAATAGTATACTTTTTCCGCTCTGTCATTCGTAAGAGCAGCTTCCCAGTGTACGGACAAATCTTATATGCTTCGCAACGGTTCAAGATCTTTCTTTCGATAAGCAGCGTTAGATCATTTCATTCCCTCAGCTATGAGTTGAAAATCGAGCTATTAAGTATTTTTCTGCTTGTCAGCGATTATAAGAAGAGAAGTTTCAGAGATTAGTTCCCTTCGGCAAGATTCCGGTAAGTTGGATCAGACTGTGTCTTTATAACCCTGCACACTTTCATACTCCAAGCCTGCTACTGCCGTTAAACAGCTGTTTATCTCCTTACGAACAACTTTGCTTTTTTTTCCCGCATAGCGGAACTTACGGTATATAAGACAACTACGTCATCATTTTCTTCCAGCATGCTGTCGACTAAATGGCAGTCAACGAGGAGCTCAAAAGCTAAGAAAATGACCGGCCTCAGGGAACCTCACCCGCGTGGGATTAGAAATACCGTCCCATTCGCTGCGCGAAACTTTTGGAAATTAAAATCAATACGCGCCCCATGTATTTGAAGGCCTACACATGACGTTAATAGTCTTGGAGTAAACGCTTTGCGAGAAAAATAGATCGACTATAAAGCTTCACATACCCTGATAACTTGCCACAGTAAGCCCAGCACCAGATGAGGTTTTCCTTCAATTAGATCCTGTGCACCAATATTGACAATATTACAGCCGATAGCCATGGCGGAGTTCAACACCAGAGTTTGGTTTTCGTGAATATTGTACACGTTTAACTTGGTCTTGTTGATAGCTCTCTCGTCAACGGTCCCAGGACAAGCCCAGTTTATGAGCTTGCACATCAGAATCCCGTCTTTTACGGCTTTGAAAAGACTATCTTTATCGTCCTCCTTAATTGGGAGGTACTTGTCTGTGAAAGTGGAGACATTATGTTAAGGTTTCACTTCATCATTATGGAACTTAAGCATCGCGTTTACGGCAAACGGCGAACCTGAGGTGGTCCCGTGACCACCGCTTTGCCGTCACGTTTGCAGTTTGCGGTTCCAGTTTCGACGGGCAGAAGGCGCTCCAGCCGTAAGTGACTTACGGGAAGGTTTTTTGGGCACTTAACGAAACCAACTTACGTTTGACACTTTAAGTAAGGATTTTCTACCATTTATGGATCCAAATCTGGTTTTCTTGTGATTAAAAAAACAATGTATTTTGCTTGATCTAAATGGAAGAAAGCCGAGTGGAGAAAGAACTTTAAAACAAAATGGCGGCTCGAAGTTCCTAAGCATGTGGATGCAAAGAAGCACAGTTATGGAGTTCTGTATCAATGTATGCCTTCTTCCATTTTTAGAAAATGCCTTCTAGATGGCCAAACACTTGCCAAGAGGTGACGCTGGCGACCGAAGTGGCCCAGCGAAGGCCAAAATGTCCCGCTGATTATAAGGAAATTCCGAGGGTACTTTCCCCTATTTTTTCGGAAGACAAAAAACCCGTCTTGCTCTCAGGGCGAGCTTGTAGAGAAAGGATGAATGGCCTTATCTCAAATACCTTGAAGAAGATAAAAAGGCTCTTTAAAGGTAGGCTTTTCCCGCCAAAAGACGTCAACGCCAGCCTAAATTCAATTTTGGTAACGACGGCAAACGGGAAACCTCAAACCGCTAGCAGCCGTTTGCTGTTTGCAGTAAACGCGATGCGAAAGGTCCCTAATAAGTAGCATTAACCGATAGCGGAGAATTGACGAGCGGATCCAAATTGACAGAGTTTCAAAAGAAAACTAAGAGTCAGCTAGAATTTATTTATACCATTTCATTCCTGCAAGACCTTGTATCACAGCCCCCATGCAGCCCGTAGCTTTTGGGAGAGAATTACCCATGGTTCACTATCTCCCCTCCCCTACACTTTGGTCAGAGAAATAATCTTGCCAGTCATTTCCTCAAATTCCTGGATTAGACCCTTGCATAAGATTTCCCTTCTTAAAATAAAACCTTACTTTGGACCCAGCTCTCACCATCTCACTTTCGTGTACCCCCAAATTAAAGCTCACTTCAGGTACCATGAATTACCAATGCAAACGAAGATTGGTTCGTATGCAAATAAGTCCAATAATATTAGGTTATGTGTTACTCTGGTGCGACGGTTTTGGCAATTTTTTTTCTTTTATCTGTGTGAACCTTACCTATTAACCAAATTTTAAATATACTGTGTCAGATAGATCCAAAGCATAATTACTATTAGCTTGCATAGGCTTGAATTACTTGACTAAATAGACGTACAATCGACACAATTGTCAAGAAAAAAGCCTGTTTTTTAGTGTACATAGTGGTCTGGTCTAAGTACTGCGATGTTTGCTAGTTACTTAGTGCAGTTCGTTCCTTTATCCAGGTTAAAGTTAATGAACACTTTCTTTCAAAATAAACACACTGGAAATCTTTCCATCCTTACCGAAAGAGATTGAATTTTTCCGCAGTTGCATGATTCGTCATCTCAGAGTCTTGCTAAAACAACTCTTGCATAAGAAACTTATTTATCTTGAAACGTTCTATTTGTATGTTATATTTCTAACCTTTCAAATCAGGATCCTCCTCCAGAACCGAGTTAATCCAGTCGCTAAAGCCGATCTGCTCGTCGTCAGAAAACGAATGTCTCGTCCCTTCGGCGGATGATGTTGAAGTCCCTCCAACGGCTTGGACTCCTTTGCGGCTGTCAATTGCTTTTTTGTATGTACCACCAACCGCTTTTGTAGACAGCTTTGTAAATAGTTGGGTAAAATCGTCAAAGCTTAGCATCCCTCCCTTTTCTTTCTGCACTTCTTCGACGATATCTCGCAGTTTATAAGCTGGGACTTCTTCGCCACACTCTTTCATCACTTTGCCAAAGTCTTCGCCTTTCAAGGATTTTCCCTCAGCGTGCTTATCGAAGGCTTGTTTCATTTCTGCCATCCGAGCACTTGAAAACATAGGCGTGAGCTCCGCCATGACTGAAAATTTAAATGTCTTTTGAACTCTGTAAGTAACCGAAAAAAAGCTTTCAAAACAACGAAACGGCAGGTGACGAAGGTCAGTGACGTCATAGTTATGTTGTCATATAAGTGGCTTGATGTGTCAATTAGCGATCACGCGATATCAAGAGGCAAGAGAGAGAGTGAGAGAGAGCACTTCGAGAGCACTGGAGTCGAGGTTAACAATAAAACTGTGAAATGTTCAGCAAGCAATTGTGGACGATAATCCTACTCTTGTACGTTGAATCAGCAGTGATCTGATAGGTCCAAAATAACAAATATAAATATAGAGGCAAGACCGATACAACGTAGGTAAGTTTTAAAACGGAGCACTGCACATTTCCAAGAGCCATGACGATTCCCACTGCACAAATCCCACTTCACCTGAAGAAGGCTGGTTTTGCCAGCCGAAATATAGTGCTCCGTTTTAAAACTTATCTACGTCGTATCGGTCTTGCCTCTATATTTATATTTGACAATAAAAGTTCAATTACTTCCTTCTAGCCTGCTTGCGGGCGGTAGTTCGTGTTTTCAAGCGCGAGATTCGGCGCGGCGAATATTAATTAGCCGAGGTCAAGTTAAGATTCTCCCATACAGACCGATCTAGCTCGGTCAATAAGATATTTATTATACGGCTGTGTCTTATATGCCAATTTTTTATATTCTTTATACCTTTTTTTTCTAGACCGGTCTAGATGCCGGTCTGGATGGGAAAATCTAGACCGCTTTCAATATTGATTTCAGCCAATCAAATTCGTGAATTCGGTAGTTCCCAGTCCTTGTGAGACACAGCCATATAATAAGTCGCCATATTGGACGGGTGGGAGTTCTGGGACGAGTGACGAGGCGAGGGGGGCGGGCCAAAAAGCGCCTGCGCAAAAACCCATGATTTCAATGACAAATTAAGTCAAATCCCGTCTACCGGCGCGGCGGATAGGGTTTCTAATTGGATAAGGAGGTGTCAAAAGAACAATGAGGTATCTTTTAATAGTCAAAGTTGATCACGTAAGAAAGTACCACAGAACTGAAGCGCACAAAAGTAGAGCGTTATTTTTTCTAAATTCGAGAGGAAAAACGGTTATGCTGTAACCAAAACAGGAAACAGTTGCGATAAGTCCACTAAGGGGAGAAGGTGTCCTGGCAGTTTTACCTACTGAGGCTTTGGGAAAAGCTTGATTTTCACCGTGTTTGCACAGTCAGTGCGAGAGCTGAACAGACCAGTTTCAACGTTGGTTATTTCACCACTTATGAGAATTATTGCCGACTAACTAACTTGCAGAACTATAAGTTGACAGTTGAGTCCGAAGACATGTGGATCTCTAGTCGTTTCTCCCCTTTGCCCCTCCCCTCGCCTTATCACCCGTCCTCCAGATCTTCCATCCGTCCAATATGGGCGCTGAATAATCTTGCACTTATTGACACAAACTACCGCCTACAAGCAGGCTAATTTCCTTCTTCTAGCCAGCCTTTGGACAAGAAGGCCAGGGAAATAATCTTCAACGCATCAAAGGGAAATTATGCGTTATTCTTTTCTTTGTTTCTGGGGAATCAAAGGAACTATTTTCTTCTTTTATCTCTCGGCTTCAAAAATGTCCCCACCGTACCCTACTTGTACTTTATTTTTTGAGTCGCATCGCTGACGTGTCAAGCTGCTTTCTGCGCATGTAGAACTGTTGTCTTTGCGCAAGCTCAATGAAGCATACGTAAACTCCAAGATGGCCGATAGTCTGGTGGTATTGATCGAATGAGATGAACTGAAAAATGTTTAAGAAACTGAAGCAGAAATTAGCGGAGGAGACGGATGGGGAACAGAGTTCACTGAAGCAAAATGCACGTCAGGTATTGACTCAACGTTTTGATCAATTGCACGCGTCAGTGCCTCCCCTGTATTAAAAGTGGTGTAACTGTTCGCAAGGAACAATGATGTTATCAACTTTTTATGCTGTGTGTTTTTTACTGATCGTCTTGTGTTGAATAATTTAGACTCCGAAAGGGCCAGGCAATGAAAGTAGCAACGAAACTCCGGAGAATTCTGAAGAAAACCGCGGATTGCCGCCTTCAAATTCAGCTGCAAATGTAACAAGTTCTCCCTCATTTTCAACTCCTAAAACATCACAGATCAAACCGAAATCTACGCCACGAGAAGTCCTCGACCGAGTCTACAGCCTTCTTGATTCAAAGGTATGTTACAAATGATTGACCTAGGGCCTATCTCACGGGTGAGTTTAACCTGATTGACAATCAGATACTTTTTTTTTTTTTCCAATGATACAGGAGATAATCAGTGATCTTCAGTAACAACTGTTTTAAAAACAGCTGTATTTTTACATATGCAATTCGGTCATCCTTGGCACGTTCTTTGGTTTTTCCTCTTAGTAGATTGGTTCCTTTTTGTGACTGGTCTTTTTTTTTTATCAACTTAGCTTTAAAATGTTGTAGATCATATGTTTCAGGCTACTGATTTAAAATAGTTTGTGTATTAAACACAAATTAGAAATAAAATGAATGGAGGATGTAAGTTTCTAATTGTTAAAAACTTTGGTGCTGCATTGGTAGTGGGGTTTTACTGCATAATTGGTTTGATCACCTGAGTTGATAATGTAAATTGGCCACTTTAAAAAGGGCTACTCAAAATGTCATCTCAGAAACTCTCTGTGGTGGCCAATTGACATGTACTTTATCAACTTGGTTGTTAAGACTAATTATTAAGAACTAGAATTATTTAAATGGGTAAAATAAGACTAAGCATTCAGTGCTTTCAATAAGATTTGAAATAGGTGGCTACCTCGGTACAACACCCGCCGGAGAGCGACTTGATTGCGACTTAGCGTGGCGACTGCGACTTGAGCGCGGTGAAATATACCCGGGGACTCGCAACAGAATAGCCGCCGGAGCTCCGGCGGGTGCCAGGTCTTATTGAAAGCACTGAGCATTTGATATTGATAGAAATTTCTTCTTATTCACTGTTTCCAGGTCAAATTTAAATTTGGAGTGTTGTTGTTGTTTTCCAGAGAGAGAATAGCATTTATAATATCTCTAACAAAACCCTTGGAGTCAAGAATATATAGAACCAACAATAATTTGAATTAACATGTGATGTCAACAGTGTTGAGGTCAATATGAAGGCAAAAAAAATTGCTTTTCTTGTTACAAAAATTATGATAAGAAGAATTAAAGAAATAAAAAGATAAACACAAAAAAGAATATTTGTAATGATAAAGTTGCATAGAGACCGGTAATTCCCAGCCTCATTCCCACTCATAGATATTCATTTGCAATTTTTGATTTGATCAAATCCCTTGTCCTAGTATAGTTGATTGTCTTATTGTGACAAGATATCGCCAGAGGGGTTAAATCAGAGTTAACTTGAGAATTAAACAGAGGTAAAAGAGTAAAGTAAAGCAAGGAAGTTAGTTTAATTAATTCAGGTCTTCCTAATTTCTTTTTTTTTTTTTTTTTCATTGTCTAGGCTGTTCAGTCTGACTCCAGAAATGGAGAAAAGCCACATTCTGGTGAGACAACCCCTCCAAAGAGCACAAGCACTCCAAGCAAAACTTTGTCACAAGACAGCATCAGTGATACAGAAACTCCCAAGAGAGCTGTTGAACGTCAAGGATCAATCCCTCCTTCAAGCCCTATGTCTGCAGGAGGACGGTCTGATGCTGAGTCTGATGCAGAGCAAAGTGCTACACCTAATACACCTGTGGCGCGGTTGGAGGGAGCCACAAAGGAAGAGGTGGTGGCCATGTTCAGAAAACAAGAGAGAGTCTTGGCACGTTACAAGACCAGATTCTCAGAGGTACAGCTCTTTGTGAACATCTTTGTTTGCTATATGGTTTTAATGCACAAAGCAAAGAGGTGGGGTATGTATGGCTTTGCCCAGTACCTTCATGAGACTTGTGAATTTTATAATCAAACTTATCAGGCAAGCTGCAATGTACAGCCTGTAGTTTCCCAACATGCAGGGATGAAAAAGGGGGCAAGGATTTTGTCAATTGCTCAATTTCTGTAGTTGCTGTGAGTGTTTGACAAAGCAGGGAAGAAAGGAATATGAAAACAACAGAATTACTGTTTATCTTTTGAGCCACCTTGTCATGTAAAAGTTTTTGTTTTTTTGTGTGTGTTTACATATATTGTGTTCACATATTGTGACCCACTGATTTAATGAGAAGGCTACATTAGCCAGTCAGTTCAAAATTATGGGAATTCTTTTGAAAGGTGTGTATATGGCCAGGTCTGAAAAACTGTACAGAGTAAACATGCATTACAAAGAAATCAGCTGGGTGTCCCTCTGTACATGTAGCCATTCCCCACTTAAATGCTTTTTTTGTTGAGTTGCCTTTTTTGTCTTCTTTGCTCCTGTTTAAATGTACATGGGCTGGAAATTATCTCACACACTGGTCTTTACACAAATTGTGCTTATGCATTTTTATTGAAGATATCAAATTAGACCTTGTTTGCTGCTATAGAATGATGTATAACCATTCTTGCTAAATGAGCTTTTACCAGAATTGTCTCGCTAGTGATGAATTTGATTTTTAAATAGTTGATGAATTTTGACCTCAGCATTACTGAAACAGCCAACACATTATTTTCTTTGAAATTTTGCATGTTGGCTCAGAACATGTATAATTGTGATGAGCTTTACATAATTCAGACATAAGGCAATTCTGATAAGTGTTTTGGCATTAAAAAATCACAAATCAGGTTAACACGGAAAAGAAAAAAACTGCCAGATGGTATCACCATATTCTCCTCCACTTGTTCATTTGCAATTAAATCTATAATTAATAGTCTAAGAGTAGTTCTTTTTTTCTGAGAAATTGAGTATTGGTAGGAAGGCATTGCATAAGTGTTTTTTTCATCTGGGTCTAGAATGTTTTGACCATGTTGAACTTTTATTTCTGTTTGTTTATGTGTTCATGATCAAATTTGGTAAGAAATGGAAATACAGGTAAAATGAAACTTGTTTGAAAAGGTATAGACCAAGAATGAACTCAACCTAAAGACATACAATGTGCTGAATTACAGAAAAATTAAATGTGTTGTAATTATAAATGAATTTTGAGGCAAACTGACTTCAAACCAGTTTGGCTGTAATTTTATCTTGTATCTGATATATGACCACAATTCTAAAACAAAGAAGATATGAACTGACCCACAGCATAGTTTGAAATTATTTTCACCCAAAATTTACCATAAACATTATGTGTGATCAGAGTAAGGCAATGTCCACCTTACTATAAGGAAATTGTGAGAAATTTGTCTAAGACAAAAATATTTGTTTTGTTTGGTTTTGTTTTTCCTTAGTATTTTAGGTGGAGCTATAAGTTCATTTTATAAAAAAAAAAAATGCAAAAGGAAACAAGCAAATGAAAAGATGTGTTTTTAAATAAAGTGACAACTCTTTTTCTCTTGTTGTATGCATCAAATATTTAAAGGACAGTTAAATTAGTTTTATAGGGGTTACCTAGGTATTCAGTCATGCTGAACGGAATGCAGTATAAACGATAAATGTCAGGTGATATCATTGTGGTCAGAAACATTTTGCATAATTTGTTCCTCTATTCAAATTAGTCTGAGCAACAAAAAATCTGCAACAAACAATGGGCTGACATGAAAGGACTGGTTTCTTTGAGACTTAAATAGCACCAAATCAACTGACTATGACTTTTAAAACAAAGTACTGCCATGGTGCTTGTTTTTTAGTGAAACTATTGTTGTATCAAGGGGAAAAAAAAAATGTAGATTTGATTTAAATTCACAAGCAGGAGTGTTTTACCTTGCTTAATGGTGTCCAATCTTTTCAATGTATATCTACACTTCACTGGCTGATAGATCTGGAGAAACAATAACTGATGTTGTGCTTTTTAACCTGAAGAACTTTGTACAAGCTTCACTTCTGAAGTTATTCTGCAATGTGCACATGCATGTAGTATTGTTTTTCAAGAAATTTCTATGATTGGGAATATTTTGTGATAATGGTCTTGAGATGTTTTCCTGTATGGGAAGCCAACTTGATACTGAAGAGAAACAGAGAAAGGCTCTTAGAAAGGTACATGACTTGAATAATGGCCCTGCATATACTATACTTATATACTGTCTTTTGGACAATAGTCTCTTCTATAATTCTCAGTAGAAATAATCCTATGAATCTGTGTCATAGACAAAATTAAAGTAGGTTGCTGTAGGTTTAAAAAATATATTTTGGTCAAGGCAAATGTGAAGAACAGAGCTGTGTATTTGGTCAGTTGAAGAAAAAAAAAAGGAATAAACAGGGAAGCAACCTACAGTAAGGAACTGTTGATTTCCTAATTTGTTTTCCTTTTCATGTCAGGTTGTGGAGGCATACAAGAACTTGCAGAAGGAAAATGAAAAGCTACAGGTACAGTACACTTTTGTCTAGGAAGCAACTGTTTTAAAGTTGATTGGTAAAAGATGACTTGTGTTACTGTTTTCCTCTTTACAGTCTTTGTATATTATAGTGTTGACTACAATTAACCCCAATAAAAACTAACACGGTAACCTGTATTTTATCAAAAGTAGTTTTTGATTACTTGTACACATAAAATGTACAGTAAGCTATAATGATGATATTGGATCTGAACTAGTGTATGATTGATGTATGTTAATGAAAATTTGTACAGAATAATCTCACACAGAGTCAGGACAAAGCTCTCAGACGAATATCAGAGATGAAAGAGGTAAATTTTAAGTTTGTGTAACAGTGTGATACAGTAACCTGTTGGGGGAAATAAATATATCTTATTAGACGTTTTGTTACATAGTATCGCTGAGTATTTTTATGAGTTGTGCCGTATTTTGATGAGCCCATAGGGCTCGTCAAAATACAAATAATGAGTAAAAATACTCAGCCATACTACACAACAAAACATCTACTAAGTTATTTATTATCCAACTCGCCAAACTGTTATTTCAGTGTGGGTGAATTTCGCGGATATTTATTTATGGGGAGTGTGTGACAGAAGTATCCGAAGCGGAACGGAATTGGCTCGTTGTTGTGTTGCTGTTTTTTTTTTTTCTTCAACAATCCAGGTTGTCTAGCTGTTTTTCTTCGCTCAATTCATTTAATAAACTTGGATATATATTTGCCAGCCATTCTGACTCTTTGTCGTCAGAAATATGATTCAAATTGTCCACCATTTTTTTTTCGTAACTACAATTCAATTCTTCACTTGCGCAATGCGAGAAAACCTGTTTAACCGGTACTCTACAGTACAAATACCATGTGATATTTGTAGTCGTCTATGGTGTTATTTGTACTCTACGAAGTGTAGTTGGATAGTAATTGAAATATCCTGTAAGCATTGCAATAGGAATCATATACTCTAGGGGAGTCTTGTAAGTCTTGATTGTTAAACTCAAAAGGAAAATGAAAAGGCTTGATGTTGTTGTCTCCTTTTTTTTTAATTTATTTCATTATAAAAGGAAAAAAGCAAAGACAGAAAAAAAAAATAAAACAAAACAAAAATGAAAACTTCTTACAGAGTGTTGTTGTCACCTGGTGAATTCTTGAATGATACTGTGTCTGGTGGCAGTCAGGCTTGGTGACTCAGTGATTACTGATAGTGCTAAAAGGAAGGTTTACAGTCTTTTTCTTTTCTCAGAAGTGATGATTTTCAGTTTTAATGTGTAGCAGTTACTTGTAGGTGTACATGACTGTTGTGAATCAGAGTGAGTAATGCTCAGCCAGGTAATTTAGGAGAGTTGTACATTACATCAAGCTCCCGTGGTGTGATTTGTTTAGAAATCTGTAATATTTTGGAAATCTCGTCATAGTCCTAGTTAGTTTGGTCAGACCAGTCTGAAAAATTTTTACATTGTTCATTTGTTCACAGACAGTAGAACTTGAAAAACAGGCAAAGATGCATTTGGAGGAAACACTTCAGTTGTCACTAGATGAAAAAGAAGACATCATCAAAGCTCTTCAAACACAGGTGGATGATTATGTGTACATTTTTTCCTTGTGTTTGAGGGTAAATTTTTCATCTTTGATTTACAGTGTTATTTTTTTTTCTTCTATTTGGGGATGTTGGGACCCATCACCATTTCCCATAAACCATGCCCACTTGTATTTGGAAGATGGAATGTTTACCAGGACCATTATCTCATTTGATTTAACCAGGTACTTTACAACTGAATTTTACCTTGAAACTACTTGTAAATCTTATTATGTTCGCTGTGTGATACATGTAGGTTCAACTGCTCAAGCAGCAAGGACCACCAGCAGTTCCTGGAACTGATGTTCTTGATGCAGGCTTAGGTGAGCTAACAACAGGAGCATGCCTTTGAATGTTTGAATTTCATGTCTGATCTCACTGTATTCATTACTACAAAGCCCTATAATTATTATTAATTTTTTTTTTGTACTTGGCTGGTTGGACAGAGAAGCCAAAGGAGAGCAGAAATACACACTGCTGAGGTCGAGTGCTCATTCCTGAACCTGAGTCGCATTGTTGTTAGTCCTCATCTTTGCTTCAAAGGTTTCCTCCAAGTTTTCCAGTTTTCCTCCCTATACAAAAACCACCATGCCAAATTCCAACCATATTTTTCCAAGGGACACACACTTTTCAACTGTTTTTTTTTGGGGTCACTGTCTATAAATAGAGGGATTTATTTGTATTTATTTATTGAAGGATCCCAAAGTGATGAACAGAAGCTTCAACAACAGAGTTTGCAGGAGAGGGTGAGAAGCAGCTTCAGATGTAGATACAGACATAAACATGTTTACAGCTACATGTAGCTGTACTTCAAAAAGCATTATTTTTTTTATGTACATGTAGATGGTCAGTATTCTCTAGATTTTTTATTTTTTTTCTTTAATAGCTAGTCATGAGAAAAAAACAGCAACTGGCTCTTGAAAGGTGTTTTCACCTTGGACCTAGATATTACCTATACATTACTGGTACCTAGTTTGTAGAGGTGTATCTACACATCTCTACTGACCATTTCATGTCTGCTTGGTGATACAAATTCCTCATTTTGTGTGAATAGTAACCCTCAAGTGTCCTCTTTGCTTATGCACTATGAGATGAATACCCTTGAGTGGATTACCGCCTCCCGGTTAGCTCAATTGGTTAGAGCGCCGGATTGTGATGTGCGGGAGGTTGAGGGTTCAAGCCCCGGCCAGACCAATACTCATGGTCTTAAAATAAGTGAGGAGAATTTGCTACCTTTCTATAATCAAGAAATGGATAGATATTCTAGTCTTCTCAGATAAGGATGAATAAACCGTAGGCCCCATCCTCTGCAGGGTTAGGGGTAGGAGACGTTAATTTCCAATGCACGAGATTACTGTGTGGTGGATGTCCTCCCCTGGGTGGGATGGATGGGTTTTGGCCCTGAAAAGCCCCTATGGAGAGTGGTCAATTAACCTATGTATGTATGTATGTATGTATGTATGTATGCATGCATGTATGTATATTGTTCAGAATAAAAATAGACTCTCGTGTTGTAAATTAATTGATCCTGGGTACATTTTGTTAACCCTCAGAATTTATCTCTTGGCGTAGATTTTTTAAATCCTGTGATAAAACAGTCTGTTCATCCCATCTGCCTTATTTATTTTGTGATGCTGAATGGCCAACTAGTGAAGGGATTATTTTTAACTCTTTAACTCCCATAAGTTGCCAAGACAGAATTTCTCGGCACCTTATCAACACTGTGTCAAGCAGCTAAGTGATGANGAGGTTGCTAAGCACGAAAGAAGCGTAAGAGTCGCGCGAGGCGATAGCCGAGAGCGACTCTAGCTTCTTGAGTACTTAGCAAACCTCCCAAGTGCATCCATAACTCAATAGTGTACACTTTGGCGTTTACTATTTGTTTTATAACATAACATTGATACATTGTAGCAAAGTAATTTTCTTTTATTTAACAAATCTTACGTGACCAGAAAAAACAAGCACGCGCGGAAAACTAGTCTTTGCATTAGCTCACGTCAGCAGTGTACACCCATGGGCAAATGATGGACGCTGGATTGACCAATCAGAGCGCGCGCTTTACTTTGGTTACGTTATAATAGTGTTTCTCTTTGGAAATTCGTATTGAATTACAATCAAACAAAACCAGAACACAAATCAAAGGTGGTTGTGGATTGATTAGATTTAAGGAGTCTGCACACCAGGAAGGGGATGACATAGTTTATTAAACTTCCACTCCCTAACATCAGTGTGCATATTCTCCATACTGTTCTCTATACATTTCCTAAGATGTTGATTAGGAGAATTTGCTTATCAATCAAGACTTTCTGTAGTTGTTGATCATTTTCGTTATTCGCCTGACCTTAATGTGTGATTTAGGGGTGATTTTGTAAGGAGAAGTTAGATGCTGGTCACTCTTAAGGGTTAAAAGCTCAACAGTTATTATGTTAAGATGCCCTTTTATGTGCATTTGTAGGAAAAGTCCTCTCAACATGATCATCTAACTTCGAATCAAATGAGGGAAGCTAAAGCCTTGATACTAAGACTAGAACAAGAGAAAAAAACGGCTATCCAGGACATGATGGACAAACTACAGACTGCGCTGCGGGAAAAAGATGAGGCTGTGAAGAGCGCCAATGAAATGAGGAAAGTTCTGATGGAGCGTGAGTCTCAAAACGAAGAAATGAAAAAAGAAAAAGATGAGTTCTTTCACAAGATGGAGAAGCAACTTGAAGAGTCGGAGAAGAGGAGGGAAATTGCTGAGTTGAAGAAGGAGCGAGAAATTCAAGAGATGACTGCTAATTACGAGGCTGCTGCCGCGGCGGAGGAAAATGAGAGGAAAGCAATGATGGAGAAGTTGAAGAGGGACAAGGCGGAGGTGGTGGCAGTAATGCAGAAGGACAAGAATGAGAAGCTGGAGGAAATGTTAGTTGCCAAGGAAATGGAGTTACAAGGGGCTCTGACTAAGAAATCAAAGGAAGTGGAGTCGATGCTGCAAGCGAAAGAAGAAGAGATGAGGCTGAAATACAATGAAAAGGTGCTACAGAAGTACATGTACGCTAGACAAAATATGGAGTGGAAATTGTAAGGGGTTGGACTCGGCGGGGGGGAGGGATTTCCTTGAGGTGTACTATCCACCTTTTGAACGTCAACAACTTTATGCGTTGCGTGCTTGAACAAGGATGCGGAAACATCGAATACTCTACGTAGAGGCAGACATATATTCACCTCTTCATTTTGGCGTGGCAGGTCTTAGATTGTTGGTAGTGGGCCACTTTCACGTTCGTTACATTTTCTTCCCTTCTGAAGACAAGTTACATTGTAGTAGGGCCATTGCCTACCGAGCAGTGAGCAGTGACAAAATGTGAAACATTAAGAAGGTGTAGAGGGTAGAACGGATCCACACCTCCAAGAGAAAGGATGATTTGTCATGATGAAATAACTTGGCATCGACCTCCCTCCCTCCCTCCGCCCCCATACCGGTAAAACTCTTACCCTACTTCTCTTAGGGTGGAAAATGATGCCCAAACCCCCTGATGATGTTTTTCACATATTGCGCATGAATGACTACTGTTTGGTTGCCTTTAGGTGAAGGAGATCGAGTTAGCTGTGGATGAGAAAGAGCTGCAGAAAGAAGCTGCTTTAAAGGAGAAAGAGAAAGAACTCCAAGCTCTGAGGGAACAAATGGAATCGCTGTCACAAAATCTGCAAAGTAGAACCTCTGAAGCTTCGCGTACTGGACAGGAACAGGCTAATAAGATGTCTAACCTCTTGGCTGAGCTGCAGAAAACGTCTGTTGAAAAGAAAGGCAAGACAGATTTAAAAAGTGATATTCTACATTTGACGGTTTCAATACAAGACAAAGACGTTCACATGCTCCTGGGCCATGTACCAGTTCCAATTTGGTTGAAGTTGTCATTTGCTGTTTACATGTATCTAGTTTTGTAATGTTATCGCAGTTTCGCTTGTAATCGAGACTTGCTGTGTATTTGCTCACGTTAATGTACAGACAACCTTCTGCTAATGACTGAGATTCAGTTGCCCATGTGCACGACACTTATTTGAGACTTGAGTTGCAAACACATTTGTGTACCAATTTGGCGAAAAGAAGAACTAAAATGGGAAAGGCCTATACTCGGGAGGAGAAATAACTCATAATTCTTATAGTGAAAAGGTCATTTAATTCGGTCATTGACATTGGATCATTGTAAGTAACACAAGTTTGCATTCATTCATTTCTCTTCGCACAGTTATCTCTCGCTTTCTTACAAAATGAAATGTGTTATTAGACTTAGAGTAGAAATTGTTCCAAGTAGTTCTCAGGTTGTCAGTCACCATCTTTGTAATTTCGTTTTTCAGAAATGGAGCAGAAGCTATCAGAGACTCAGCACAAATTAGACCAAGAACAGGTAAGAACTATCTGATCGTTACTGACTTTCAACAATCTTTGTTTTACACCCAAGGATATTTTGGGGTCAGAGAGAAGGATATATTGAGGTGTAGGCTGGGATCGCCTCTTACAGATATCTTGGGCTACACAGCTCCGTTAAGAGAGACTGTCTATGAATAAGCGGTGGCAGCATTTCTCAAGTCTAAAAGCATGGTGTCACCCTTCCCTCTTCGACTGTCATCTCATTTTTTCCTACCTGCACCCAGAGCAAAAGAATAACTTTGTATTGTGATGAATGCGTGATTCTCCACCGAAACCCTCCCCCCTCCCCCCAAAAGAGTTAAACGAACAAAAACCCTCTCCCAAAGAATAGAGCAAAGTCGGGAGATAGAGAAAACATCATCCACAGCATAATGCCTGAAACAAGATATAAACAAGTATTTTCGAACGATTTTCAATTTCCCCCGGTCAGTCGTCTTTTTACAGTGCAGATCTGACTCGATAGGAAGACATAACTTTGTTTGATTTGTTTGTCTTTTACTCCGAAAGCATTTTGTAACGAAGAGATCCGTAAATCTCACAAATCCTTCTTTTTCTCCGTAGGCTAAAATCGCGGAGATGATCCAGCAACACAATAATCTTCTGCAAGAAAAACAGGAAGAACATCAGAAAATTTTAACCAAATTCAAAAAAATGCATCAAACAAAAATGAGCGAAATATCCGAAAGTGCCAAGAAAGCCGAACAAAAAGTGGCCGAATTGGAGAAACAGCGAAAAGCCGACGGAGAGAAACATATGAAAGACTTGGAGGAGAAAGAGCGACAGTTCGAGGCTGATAAGCAGTCAGAACTTGCCCGCGTCTCCAAACGAATGGAAAGTAAAACCAACGAGATGAAAAAGATTGTTAAGGAACTTAGAACAAAGCTCACTGAAAAAGAAAACCAGGCGAAGGAACTTGAGGAGAAAGTTAACATCATGCAACAAGAAACTGAGTCGGAAAAAAGTGCGAGTGTAAATGACTTTGAAAAGAAAATTGCTGATGCTATGAAAGTCGCCGAAGATTTGCGTAAAGAACTAATACAAAAAGATAGTACAGTTAATGACCTCGAGAATAAAGTTAAAGAAATTGAAGGCAAGAAAGTAAGCGAAGTGGAGGAGTTGACGAAAGACCGGGACAATCGTTTGAAGGAAAAAGAGAGAGAATTAGTTGACGTTAAAGGGAAGCTAACGGAAAAAGAATATTACTCCAAGGAACTGGAAAAACAACTTCTCGAAATGAAAACCGAGAAGGATCATGAAATCGAAGCTGTCAAGCAAAAGGCAATCGTGAAAGTTAAAGAACTAGAAGCGGCCTTTAATAGCAAACGAGAGGAAGAACTAAAAGTTTTAAGTTCGGAGAAGGAGAAAGAACACGTGGCAGTTAAAGAGGTGGAAAGTAAAAAGAACGAGCTTGAAAAAGTGAACAGTGAGTTAAAGGAGAAGTTAAAGACTTCCACAGAAAATGAAGATAAACTAAAGGAAGAATTGGCCGGGTTGAACCAGAAGTATAAAACTCAATTTGAAAATTTCAAACAGAAATACCAAACTGACGTCCAAAAGTACAAAGAGCAGTTACTCCTTGCCGAAGAAAAAAGTCTTCAGAGTGTCTCAGAAAGCAAAAGTAGTTACGAGAAAATGGTCGCAGGTTTGAAGGAGGGATATGAGCAAAGTATTCAGAAACTTCAAGAAGAGAAATTGCTCATTGAGGAGAAATGGAAACTTGAGTTGGAAAAGGTTCGCGAAAGTAAAAAGAACGAGCTTGAAAAATTGAACAATGAGTTGAAGGAGAAGTTAAAGGCTTCCACAGAGAATGAAGATAAACTCAAGGAAGAATTGACCGGATTGAACCTGAAGTATAAAACTCAATTTGAAAATTTCAAACAGAAATATCAAACTGACGTTCAAGAGCACAAAGAACAATTGCTCCTTGCGGAAGAAAAAAGTCTTCAGAGTGCCTCGGAAAGGAAAAGCCACGAGAAAATGGTCGCAGGTTTGAAAGAGGAATATGAGCAGAGTATTAAGAAACTTCAAGACGAGAAATTGCTTATTGAGGAGAAGTGGAAACTTGAGTTGGAAAAGGTTCGCCGAGACTTCAATAGCAAAGCAGCTTTGAGCGAGAAATCTCTCAGCGATAAAAACTCACAAATTGCTGAATTGAGTAACAAGATTCAAAGTTTAACAAGCCAAATGAATGAACAAAAGGAGCAATCGCAGCGAAATGTCGATGAACTAAGTCAAAGCATAACACTGCGAGAGGAAAAGATTGGAAAACTGAAAGAAACTCTGAAACTCGAACAAGAAGCGCTTAAAACGCAGAAGAAGCAACACGACGAGAAAATGGAACTGAAAGAAAAGGAAGTGACGGAATTGATTATTAAAATGGAAAAGGAATTCAATGACCAGCTGCTTGAAAAAGAGGACGCTATCAAGGAGAAACTGCACGAAATTGCTCAGCATCATGATATGGGAGTCAAGGATGCAACAGCGAACTTAGAAAATATGAGGAAAGAAGAACTAACGAAGCTTGAGGAGCGGCATCAGGCGGAAGTATCTGAACTGAACTTGGGCTGGGAGAACAAAGTCGTGAGTATACGCAAAGAAAACGAAGAGACTATGGAGAAATTTTTGAACGAAGCAAGAGAAAAGGAAGAGAATATGACAAAAGAGAATATCAACTTGAGGAATGAAATTGCTAAGCGAGAGAAAATACATCAAGCGAAGACGGAAGAGTTACAAGCCAAAGCGAACGGTGTTTCGGAAGAGAAGGAGTCCGCCATGGAGAAGGTAAGAGAATTGGCCGAAGAAAACAAACGTTTTAGACAGCAAATCGACAATCTAAACATGGAAGTGGAAAGTAAGATAAACGAAATGACGGAAAGTCATAAACGCGACATCGAGGACATTAAGAATCAGTCTTTAAAGAACGTTGAGGAACTCGCTCAAGAACAGACAAACGCTTTAGCGAATCGCGAAAGTGAATTTGAAAATGCCAAGAAAGAGGCAGAGGGGCGGTTGAACGAAGCAATGGGAAGGCACAGAGAAGAAATCGAGGAGATGAGGGATAGTTATCAAGCCAAGCTGCAGGAAGTCACTAACACTTACCAACAGGAGCTGGCGCAAATCAGGCAGATATACGAGAAGCAGAACATTGAAATGGAGAAACTTAAGAAATATCACGAAATTGAACTGAACGAGCTTCGGAAAGGACATTCCAAGACGATGGAGGGACTGCTAAAAACGGGCGAGGAAGATAAGAATAAATTTGCTGATCGAGAACGTGTACACATCGAAGAAGCGGAAAGGTTAAAATCCAGGATAGAAGAACTCGAGGTTGAAAAATCAAAACAAGTGGAAGAGTTAACACGATCGCGAGAACAAAGAGCGCAGAAGTTTGCCATCGAAGAAGCGAACTTGAGAGAGCAGTTTGACCTTCTGAAGAAAAAGATTTCCGATGCGGAAACCCAGCATTGTAGCAAAATGGAGGAGCTTCGGAAGTATGCAGAAGAGAATGAAAAGAAATTTGGCGTTGAGGAAACCAAGCTAAGAGAGCAAATCGATGCACTGAGTAAAGCTGCTGAGGAGAGTAAAGCGGCGTTTGAAATTGAGAAGCGAAAGTTGAAAGAGCAAATTCAAGCTTTGGAGGAAAAGCTGGGCGAAACTGAAGCAGTAAATTCGATTAAAATGGACGAACTGAGATTGTCTGCAGAGCAGATAAAGACAGCGTTTGATCACGAGGAGAAAAAGCTGATCGAAGAAATTGATACCCTGAAGAGAACTTACAAACAACAGGCGGAGGAGATTCGTAGGTTATCGGAGGACTGTGAAGCTAAGTCTGTACTGGAGGACAAACTTAAGAAAGAAATTGAACAATTAAGGGAAAGTCACAAAAAAGAAATTGGGGATTTGACGCAGAGAGGCAACGTAGCTCAGACAAAACATCGTGAAGTGGAGAATAAATTAAACGACGAGTTGAACAACTTGAAGAAGGAGTATGGTAAAAAAACAAAAGAACTTCAAGAGAATAAAGCTAAGTTGTTAGAGCAAGAAAAGCGAATGAGAGTAGAGTTAGAGAAAGTTCAAACAGAGGCAAAGCAAACTTCGGAGGCGACGTCTACGAATTTGCAGAAGAAACTGGATCAAATGAAAAAGGAAAGAGAACAAGAAGTTCAGTTGTTGAATACAAAGTGGAAAGGGAAATGTGATGAGATCAACCAGCGATACTCAAGTCAGATACAAAACCTACTGAAGCAACAGGAAGAAGAAAAGAAGACCTTGACTGAAGAGCATGCGAAAGCAATAGAGGAATTAAGGAATAAAAGCGAAGAGGAACGTGTTGAATTGGAGGAGATAGCGAAGAACCAGTTGAGCGAAGCACAGAACACTGCGTCGGACCTGCAGTTAAAGATAAAAAAGGCAAAGGAAAAAATCAAAAGTATTAACGCAAAACACGAGCAAGAGTTAAAAGAATTGCAAGAAAGTCAAGAGAAAACTGACCAGGAGATTAAAACTCTACACGAGACGGTGTCTTCTTCGAAGAGAGAAATGGCCGAGAAGGAGGAAAGCTACGAAAACAAACTAAGAGAGGCTGAAAAACGCCAAGAAGAGTTGCAACTTAGGATTGTGGCCGGAGAAAGTAACAATAAAGCTATCGACGAGAAGTTGGCAGAGCTGAGTCGCGAAAAGCAGGAGGCGCAAGATGCTGTTGCGACGAAGGAAACAGAGTGGCGGCATCGAGTGCAGGCACTTGAAGCTGAAATGGAGAAGAGGACTCAAAGCTTAGAATCCAAACTGAAAGCGCAAGAGAAAGAACAACACGAAAAGCTTAAGGAATATGAGGATGCCAAGGAACAGCAGTTGTCACAACAAGCGGAGGAACTAATTGAACAGTATAAGAACAAGTTGACTGAAATGAAGAAGAAAGCAGAGAGCAAAATTGCAGGCTTGAGGAAACAGCTCAATGCGCAAGCTGTAGAAAAAGAGACAGCATTGTCCAAAGTGAAGGAGTCGCTAAGCGCGTCAGAAAACAAATTAAAGGATCTCAAGGAGAAACATCAAGGGGAGATGGAGGGATTAAAGAAACTTCATCAAGAGGAGCTAGAGTCCAAACTCCAGGAATTACGTCAAGCAAAAGCATTTGAAGGTGAAGGTCGCGAAAAGGAGTTGCAGGGAAGACTTGACAAACTGGAGGCCTCAAACAAAGAGCTTTCAGAAAACATTGAGAATCTTCTTGTAGAGAAAATGGATGCTCTTCAAGAGCAGGAATCGGGTCTGAAGGAAGAGCATGAATTGGAAAAAGAGAATCTGCGGAAAGAACATGCCAGCGAGTTGGAGAAGTGCGAAAAGAAGTGCAAGGCTAAATTAAGCGAAAAAGAGTTGGACTATAATTCGAAAATCAAACAACTTGTCCGGGAATTTCAGATAAAATACAGTGAAAAGGAAAGAGAGCAACAGGAAATGTTAGGGCAAGTGATAGAGAAAGGACAGAAAGAGGAACAGAAGTTGATGGATGAGTATAAAACTGAAATTGTAGAATATCAACGAGAACTCAAACTGCGAGAGGACGAAATGTTAGCGTTGAAAACATCCACGGAAGAGCAACTAACGCAAAAAGACAATGAATTAACAGAACTTAAAAGAACTCATTCCGAAGCGTTGCAAAATGTTGAGAGGGAACATCATGAAACGATACAAGAGATGGTTCGAAAGAACGAAGCCGATATGGAAAAGCTGCAGGAGGAGAATCGCAGCAAACTAGAAGAGTTGCACGAACGTCATAAGAACGAGCTGGAAACGCACGCTAGGGATCGGAAATCTGAAGTGGCTGCCGTCGAGAAGAAGTTCAAGACTCAAATGAAAAAGAACCAGAACGAAATGAAGAAATTATTAAATCAAAAAGAGTCATTCATTCAAGCACAGAGTGTGAGTTTGACCGACGCTGAACCCGGACAGCTACAGAGAGCTGGGTCATCTTCGTCCCTCAATAGTGTAAGTCGGGGGAGTGCACGAAGAGATCACAGGAACAGTTCCGGAGCTTCTGATATTTACTTTTAAGATTTTGATCAACGAGCACTTCCTTTTACGACCTATGATAACAACATCACCAGCAATAAATTATTGACGCGGCACTGTTTTTCTTTTTTTTTTTTTTCCGACGAGTCACCGTTTTACAGGACTGCATCGACAGCTTCAACTGTTATTTGTGCTTCGCTGTTGCCATATTGTCGTTTCTGTGGTCGTTAGGGGTTTCATGTCTATGGGAATCTTTCACGTTGTTCTTTGTTGATTTGGCATTAATATTTGATCATTTTCTTTTGCCACCTTAATCACAGCTTATTTTTTAAACACAATTCGGCAATTACTACCAAACTCTAACCGACTGAATGTATTTTAGTTGGTTCACCTCACACAATCTTCCATTGCCTTACTTTACCCTACATTACGATACCCAAGTGACTCTACTGTGTGTTATTTTATTTACGTGACATAACGTAACATCACAGCCCCCCATCCATTATTGATATTTACATGTGAAGCTTTTGTTACGTCTCGTTATCAACTCTATTTTAAATGTTCGATTAAGAACAAGCAAGAACAAATCGTAATAAGGGACTCGCACTTGCACTTGCTTTGATGCAAAGGCTCGAGGTATCTCGGTTATGACCCAAACAGCTTGGGCATGGACGCGATTGTCAGCATCGTTTCCTCCGATGTACATTCTTGTTTTTTCCTCCGATTTCCTCCGATTTACATTCTTGCCTTTTTCAGGAAACACACGTTTCCCCTTGCTCAAGCTTATGTTTTTCTTTAGGAACCTGTTGCGGAGGATTCAAGTCAAACAGCGCTGAAGGTTTGTTTGAATTTTTTTTTTTTTAACCCAACTTATCAGATACGCGAACTTTAAGGGTTGAAGTTATCGTTTAAGCCGCTGTATTTTTGTGAAAATTTACCCGCTCATTTCGCTGATTTCCTAAAGTTCGCGAAGCGCTGTGTTTCCTGCTTTGCAGTTATCATTTTCTGGTATTACCTTGAAAATTATTTCCTGCAGTAAAACAGTGAATAGCGACGGAGGTGCACTCTGAATGGCTACTCAAACTCTGAATATCCTTTGCTATTCACCTCCGTGCAACTCGTGCTATATTTGCACCCGAAAACATTGTAATCGTTGCAGGAAAAAATGAGTTTGAATCATCTTTTTGGACCATATTATCTCACTTTTTTAGTTTGTGCTAAAACAACTAATTACTTCAGTATCGGTGACTAGCGGTGGATAGTTACCTCGCCGCTTACCGGTTGGGTCAAAATCCACCACCAGCCACCTCCACTTCGGTGAATAGTTGTTACTTAAAGGTGTGCTGAAAGATTTAATTGCTTCAGTTTTCTGCGCGCAGTAGATTCTCCTCTCTGTCTTTTTTAGGAACAAATTACGCGGTTGAGAACAGAAGTCGGTGTCCTGAAGGAGAGAGAGGAATCACTGAAATCACAGGTCAGTCCCAGCACGTTTTCTACGGAGTAACGTGTGTATAGTAATACAGTGGAACCTGTCGTGGGTAGACACCCTATTGGTGGTTTATTACATAGGGGGTTTAATGTCAACCAATCAAGTGATTCGTTACATGAATATACCGTATATTTTGTTATCAATCTCAGCTAAAATTGTATTCGATAATGAGAAGAATTTTTTTTTTTTTTACAGATTGAGAAACTCGGTGGATCTCCACTTCAAGGAAGAAATCGTCCCGCACAACTGAACCTGGTGTCCAACCCTCTGTCGGACAGCCCAGCTCTGTTAGATCCAGGCCCTCCCCAGTCGCCAGTGGAACCTACGGAGTTCGAGGTTGGTACATGAGGTTTTTGTGTTTTTCCTTTTCGCTCTCATTCTTTTTTGTTTTGACATATTGTCGGTGTTTTAAGCTTTCTAGCTCGTTTTATGCTTTCACTTCCACAGTATCTTCGAAATATATTGTACGAATACATGATGGGCCGCGAACGAAAGGTGAGAGCATTTGACTCCAATCTGCAGTTTCCTTTTTCTCTTTGTGGAGTCCTGACCTATCTAGATCAGTATGTTTCTCTATTTCCTTTTTTCGTTATTTTTATTTCGTTTATTTCTTATTTAGTTTTCCTGTTTTGGCAAGGTAAGGTTGAATGCGCACAAATCTGGGGTTCTGTTCGAGTCTTGGGAATTGAAAGTGCTGCTTGCAAAAATGAGTATTTTCCAAGCTACAATAAGTGCTCTTATTATCCAACTACACCTAAACGAGTACGAATAACGCCATAGACGAGTACAAATATCACGCGGTATTTGTACTCGTCTATTGTAGTACCGGTTAAACTGGTTTTCTCGCATCGCGCAAGCGAAGAATTGGATTGTAGTTACGGAAAAAAAAAA